ACCAAGCTGGGCCCAGGAAACCGCACACGGCAGTTAACACCACCACTCAGGCATCTTGTAGATAAATAAAGGGCTGACCCCATAGCTTGGTACTGTGACACAGCAGCGAAGGCATTTGCTGGGTATCAGCCACACCTCCCAGTTTCTGGAACATTCTGACAGGCAATTCCCTCTTTCCACACTGTCCTTTCAGGCCAAGTCTCCCCCACCCAGCCCTGGGAACGTTGCCGGGACTAGACTGATGAGGCAGATCTCGGCGAGGGTGAGCTGCCCCAATCTTTCAGTGGCAGGAGAGCTCAGCCAGGCACCCAATGGTGAACAAGTCTGGGCTTGCCACACACTGGACCTTCTGTGCTGAAGGTCACATGGGAGTCGTCAGTTTTCCGAGAATCACGAGGAGGGTGCGGCAGCTGGGCCCAGCCCCCCCCCCCGCAGATGCCATCTCACAGGGGTAAGGGGAACAATCTTCCCCAGTTTCCTCACGGTTGCCAAGGGAGCCTGTGGCATGGGTGGTTTTGTTTGGGGTGTGGGTGGCCGCCCTGGGAGGGACCTCCGGGCAGGGAGTTGGTCCAAGAAGCTCCTCAATTCTAGTTACTCTGACCACTGTCAACGTTCCACCCTATACCCCAGGGGGCCAGGGCTGAACAGAGGCCGCATAGGGGTCTCAGGCTGTGCCTCCTCCTCACTCTGGCCCCACTCCTGGCACAAGAGACGCCAACCACCCTTTTCAAAACCTCCTCAACGCTCAGGCCTTGCTGGCCTTGTGCAGGGGACAAGCTCACCCGGTTTGTTTCCGCCTTTCCTTGGAAGACCCAGGGTGGGGCCCCCAACAGTCAGCAAGCAGCTCCCTGAGGCCCATCGCAGGCTGCAGACTGCCCTAAACAGATTAATTTTTTCAAAAACATCTCCTTTTTCCCCACCTCCCAATCCAAAAGCCAAATGGGTTGAATATCTATGCCCTTTTGGACTTGTCACCCTGCAATTACAAATACTGTTTTCTGCACAGACAAGATCTTGCTTGTCATTATTCTGCAACTGCCTTTTTCCACTTACTACATCCTGACCAGTCACTAAGCATTCCATCCTGGCGGGGATAGCTTTTCTTATGAAATGCTTCAAACCTCCAGGCCCCTGGTAACAAACCATGCCAAAACATGCACCACGCCCCTCAAGCGGCAACTTCGGGAGTTTAGCTTTTTAATCACTTGCTCCCAACCATTTTTAAAACAACAAAATCACAGCAGGGTTCTTAACCAAAGACCCCGTAAGCACAGCAGGTACAGCTCACTGGGGCTGCCCGGGTGCCAGCGTGGGACACGCCCGCTTCCCCCAGGGGCGCCTGGGCGCTGACGTCACCGGCGCTCACGAGGCGGCGCGGCCGCCCGCGGAGTCACGCGCTGCAGCCCCGCTGCAGCCCCGCTCCCGCCCCGCCGGCCGCCTAGGGCAGTGACGCGCCCTCCGCAGAGATCCCTCCGCCGCCGCCGCCTGGAATTTCCAGTCGCCCTGCCGGCCCTTTTTCGGACCTCGGCGGGAGGGGTGACCTGAGGCGACCCCCGCAGTTCCTTCGCCCACCGGGAGCGGCCCCAGCCCGCCTCCCCACCAGCCCCCTCTCGGGGACCGGTGTTCCCTCACCCCAACCCCCAGGAAAGGGCATTTCTCCTCCACGGAATCCGTCTCCCAAATGTGACCTTGAGACTTGTCCTCGATCTCCGAAGCACTGCTAAGGGGGGTGGGGGGTGTAACTGGGGCAGCTGAGGGGCGGACACCCCGGGAGACCGAGAACCACCTCGAGGCGTCTCCTTGGGCAGGTCGGGAGGGACTTCTTTTCCGTGGCAGTGGAGGAATCGTCCCGTTGAGCAGTGCCCCGGTGATGCGGCCCTGGCCTATAAAAACAAAAGTTGGGGCCTGTCCGCAGGAGTTAGCCACAGGGAGGGTCGCGCTGCTGGGCTTAGCTGTGGGGTGGCAGTGGCCGTTTAGGGCTTCAGAGGGCAGACGGGGGAGATGACAGAGTTAGACGAGACAGGGGGCGTGGGGGTACAAGGAACAGGAAGGTCGAGGAGGAGACCAGGTTTGGGGGGCGGCTGTGCTGGGCAGAGCTGCGTTGGAAGTGCCCGCAGTCGCCCAGGGGGAGGACAACCGTCTAGGCCAGGCTGTCGCTGCCGCCCGCTGGGGATGGGCACTTGCCTCTGGAGGACGCCGCTCCTGCGCGGGCTGAGCGGTCCCCCAGTGCCCTGGTCTCTGTGGAAGGAGGAAGGCAGTGAGAGACAGGAGGAGGTGGAATCTCCTGGGCAGTGATGGCCCTGAGAATGATCGGGAAGGAAGGCAGTGGGTGTGCAGGGCCGCAGGTGGGCCGGGAGGACAGACCTTGACCTTGTCAGTACCAGCAGCCCCCTTTTTTCCCCAGACAGAGGGTTGTGAACCCGCCCGGGATGAGGCCTGGTGTTGTGGAAACCGCACTTAGCTTCGCGGCCGGACAGCTCTGGCCCCGGGTGGTATGTAATTTTGGCTGGGCGTGGGACAGGGGCCAGGCCAGGCCCAGCCTAGTGCAACCCAGGTCTGGGTGTGAGGCGAGACGCCTGGTCGGAGGTGAGGGTGGCCCGAGTCATAGGTAAGGTGCCACCCTAAGCCGTTAATGGTGTGGCATCTTAGGTATCGGACAGGCGGGGGCTGCTGAGGCAGGATGTTTGTGTGTCTGGACAAAATTGACCCACACTTTATTTTCCAGGTGGCAGCGCTCCCCTTTGGACTTTCCCTCTGGGTTCGGTGCTAACCTCTTCTGTGAGCTTGCTCTGCCCCTCCTCCTCCCTTTAACTCTTCACGTTTCACTTCACTTAAAACCTTGCTTCTGGTAACCTGGAAGCCTGGGAAAGTTGCTGAAGTCCCTGTTGGAGTCGGTATTGTTGGTAATCGCAAGGAGGAAGGGCCTTCCCGCTGAGACTGGGGTGGGCGGGTTGGTGTTGCTTGCTGGTGGAGAGGGTGGGGATCGAGCCCACCCTTGGGTGGGCCCGCAGCTGTGGCTCCAGCCGAAAGTTACAAAAATGCCTCATGGACCGTGGTTTGTTATAGTGTTCATCATGGCGACCAGATGGCACCAGGAGAAATGGAGCCCCTGGCCAGTGTGAGTCATAGCAGTGCAGGAGGGGAGACCCTGGAGGAGAGAGCCCGCCTAAACGGATGCCTGCAGATTGAATTTCCAGAGGCTTAGGAGGAGGAAATTTTCCAGTGTCGTGTTTCCAGGCCTTGCTCAGGAAGCCTTGTATTCAGGAGGCCATCACTTCGGGTTTTCAGATGAGCTTGAGGGGGCAATCTTAAGTCCAAAGCAGATGCATCCGGGGCGTCGGCAGATGTGTTTGACTGTTTGATCCAGGAGCACCAATCTCCAGGCGCATGAATGCCAGCAGGCGCCTCTCCTCTCCTGGGGTGGAGGTTTTTCAGATGCTGCATCTAGGTTGAGCCTCCTGTCATACTAGTTCTTCTGTGCTACGAACCTTGCTTCAAGAAGATTCTTAAGCTGTAGGACGTTTCAATGTGATGCCACAACACCTTGTAGATGGAGCTGGCAGATGGAGCCCAGTGACCCTGTCACCTATCCGCCTACCTGCCTGCGTGCCTGCCTGTGTGTTGGTCGGAGGAATTCTTAGTGTGATGATGTCATCTGTGTGGGAAAGTGTTCAAGTTTGAAATGCCTCAGACGAATACGTAGACGAAGCAGACTGGCAAACTGGGAGGGGGGTCATTGTTGTGCTAGAGTCTGGGAGGGTACAAGTTGGTCATGTGCAAGTTCTGGTAGAAATGGCAGGTCTAGTTTGGGTATTCGGATTGCGTTGTGGATTTCTAAGAGAAGGGAATGGTTAGGGTCCCAGTAGTGATCTTTGATTCATCTTGCTCTGTATGTTTTTTGACTTGAATTTCACCTGATTAGATTTCAGAATAATCTTGGCTTTCAAAGGGGAGGACCCTGAGGTGAGGGTTGTAGGTGAGGGGGAGGGCCCAGCTTGGCACTGGTACTGGGGAGGGGTGGTGGGGGTGAAGAAAGGGAGAGGGTTGGTTGGGTGTTTGTTGACAAGATCTTGCTTGTCATTATTCTGCAACTGCCTTTTTCCACTTACTACATCCTGACCAGTCACTAAGCATTCCATCCGGCGGGGATAGCTTTTCTTATGAAATGCTTCAAACCTCCAGGCCCCTGGTAACAAACCATGCAAACCATGACCACGCCCCTCAAGCGGCAACTTCGGAGTTAGCTTTTTAATCAACTTGCTCCCAACCATTTTTAAAACAACAAAATCACAGCAGGGTTTCTTAACCAAAGACCCCGTAAGCACAGCAGGTACAGCTCACTGGGGGCTGCCCGGGTGCCACGTGGGGACCCCCGCTTCCCCCAGGGGCGCCTGGGCGCTGACGTCACGGCGCTCACGAGGCGGCGCGGCCGCCCGCGGAGTCACGCGCTGCGCCCCGCTGCCCGCCCCGCCCCGCCGCCGCCGCCTAGGGCAGTGACGCGCCCTCCGCAGAGATCCCTCCGCCGCCGCCGCCTGGAATTTCCAGTCGCCCTGCCGGCCCTTTTTCGGACCTCGGCGGGAGGGGTGACCTGAGGCGACCCCCGCAGTTCCCTTCGCCCCCACCGGAGCGGCCCCAGCCCGCCTCCCCCACCCAGCCCCCTCTCGGGGACCGGTGTTCCCTCACCCCAACCCCCAGGAAAGGGCATTTCTCCTCCACGGAATCCGTCTCCCAAATGTGACCTTGAGACTTGTCCTCGATCTCCTGAAGCACGGCTAAGGGGGGTGGGGGTGGTAACTGGGGCAGCTGAGGGGCGGACACCCCGGGAGACCGAGAACCACCTCGAGGCGTCTCCTTGGGCAGGTCGGGAGGGACTTCTTTTCCGTGGCAGTGGAGGAATCGTCCCGTTGAGCAGTGCCCGGTGATGCGGCCCTGGCCTATAAAACAAAAGTTGGGGCTGTCCGGCAGGAGTTAGCCACAGGGAGGGTCGCGCTGCTGGCTTAGCTGTGGGGTGGCAGTGGCCGTTTAGGGCTTCAGAGGGCAGACGGGGGAGATGACAGAGTTAGACGAGACAGGGGGCGTGGGGTACAAGGAACAGGAAGGTCGAGGAGGAGACCAGGTTTGGGGGGCGGCTGTGCTGGGCAGAGCTGCGTTGGAAGTGCCCGCAGTCGCCCAGGGGGAGGACAACCGTCTAGGCCAGGCTGTCGCTGCCGCCCGCTGGGGATGGGCACTTGCCTCTGGGAGGACGCCGCTCCTGCGCGGGCTGAGCGGTCCCCCAGTGCCCTGGTCTCTGTGGAAGGAGGAAGGCAGTGAGAAGACAGGGAGGAGGTGGAATTGGGCAGTTGATGCCCTGAGAATGATCGGGAAGGAAGGCAGTGGGGTGCAGGGCCGCAGGTGGGCCGGGAGGACAGACCTTGACCTTGTCAGTACCAGCAGCCCCCTTTTTTCCCCAGACAGAGGGTTGTGAACCCGCCCGGGCATGAGGCCTGGTGTTGTGGAAACCGCACTTAGCTTCGCGGCCGGACAGCTCTGGCCCCGGGTGGTATGTAATTTTGGCTGGGCGTGGGACAGGGGCCAGGCCAGGCCCAGCCTAGTGCAACCCAGGTCTGGGTGTGAGGCGAGACGCCTGGTCGGAGGTGAGGGTGGCCCGAGTCATAGGTAAGGTGCCACCCTAAGCCGTTAATGGTGTGGCATCTTAGGTATCGGACAGGCGGGGGCTGCTGAGGCAGGATGTTTGTGTGTCTGGACAAAATTGACCCACACTTTATTTTCCAGGTGGCAGCGCTCCCCTTTGGACTTTCCCTCTGGGTTCGGTGCTAACCTCTTCTGTGAGCTCTGCTCTGCCCCTCCTCCTCCCTTTAACTCTCTCCAGTTATCCTTCACTTAAAACCTTGCTTCTGGTAACCTGGAAGCCTGGGAAAGTTGCTGAAGTCCCTGTTGGAGTCGGTATTGTTGGTAATCGCAAGGAGGAAGGGCCTTCCCGCTGAGACTGGGGTGGGGCGGGTTGGTGTTGCTTGCTGGTGGAGAGGGTTCCAGTGGATGACAAAACAGCGGGAAACCCCTCCCTTGAGGAACTCAAGTCCCACAGAGGACGGCTCACTGTGAAGGTGACCTCCAGGCAGAGGCCTGAAGGAGCTGAAGGAGGGCTGGGCCAGGCGGCCACTGGGTGGAGAGCCTTCCATTGTCATAATCTGACAATAGTTGTTTTGATTATGACGTGGGGTTGAGGAGAGCAGGCTGGGAAAGGTTAAAGATGTGCCCAGGGTCATGCTGGGAGGTGGGGACCAACCTGGCAAAGTGCCTGTGGGGGCTGGGGTGGGGGTCCAGGTTGTGGTTCCTGATGGGCTGCTGTGAGGTAAGCCGGGGCAGGAGGGTGCCCGGCCAGCACACGGTGACTGTGCAGTTCCCTCACCCAGGCCCTGAGACAGGGGGGCCTCAGGACTCAGAGGGAAATGGCCCCAGTTGAGTATCTCCTGTGAGTGGAGAGCTCAAGGTGACCCAAGGCCATAGCTCTGGAACTGGACCTGTGGGGGATGGGAGGGGTGGAGTTCTGGCACATTTTCAAACAGTGGCAGCAATACTGTCATTGTCCTGCCCTTGGTGTGAGCCTGAAGTACCACCCGGTTCTTAGTCCTCTTCTCTGCCTTTCCCAGCAGCTCCTGCAGGAAATCGCCCAGGTCCTTTCCTGGGCTGGTTTGGAAACAACAGCGCTGGGCTGGTTTCAAAACAAGATGAGGAGGCAGCCACGGCCATGAGAAAGGGCTTGGGCCTCGGCCCTGGCCCTGCAATCCGGATGTTGCCCAAGGGGCCCTCTCCAGTCTTTCCTTCCCCTCCAACCCCCAGCCCCTGAGTGGAAGGGAGCATGCTTCAACCCCGCACTGGCTAGGGCGGGTCCCATCTCCAGCCAGCCCTCAGCCCGGGATCCAAGGTCCTGTTTACTGCTGTTTCCTGGAACAGCTTGTTTTGATCTAGATGAAATCTGCTGAGTTCTGCTGCCCCACGCGCCTCGTCCAGAGAGTGGAGCTATGTTTAGCCTTATTTGCAGAGAAAGAGGTGGAACCCAAGCCGGATGTTTATCCACCATGCTGTGAGCGCTGCCTTGGCCCCCCTAAGGCAGGACAGAGATGTCCCTGTGTGGCTTTCTACCCTCCTCTCATCTTCCTCAAATATATTCCCCTCCCCAAGAAAACTAGCTGTGTGGAACTCGGAGGCCAGGAGACCTTCTGTACAAGGCACCTCTGAAACTGTGCCATCTTGTCCTTGAAAATGGAGTGGGTGGCCAGGGCGGCTCCAGATACAAGGCCACAAATGAGGGCCTTAGTTCCTTTTGTGATGAAGAATCCTATGATCTGTAGAATCCTGATACTTTGTGTGGTGTTAATTCCACCTACTCCTACTCTTTTGAAAAATAAAATCTACGATTGTTTCAGGGATTTGGGAATGATACATGTGAAGGAGGAAGATTTTTATACCAGAGATAAGAGAAGACCAAGCTAAGGCACCAAGCTGGGCCCAGGAAACCGCACACGGCAGTTAACACCACCACTCAGGCATCTTGTAGATAAATAAAGGGCTGACCCCATAGCTTGGTACTGTGACACAGCAGCGAAGGCATTTGCTGGGTATCAGCCACACCTCCCAGCTTTCTGGAACATTCTGACAGGCAATTCCCTCTTTCCACACTGTCCTTTCAGGCCAAGTCTCCCCCACCCAGCCCTGGGAACGTTGCCGGGACTAGACTGATGAGGCAGATCTCAGCGAGGGTGAGCTGCCCCAATCTTTCAGTGGCAGGAGAGCTCAGCCAGGCACCCAATGGTGAACAAGTCTGGGCTTGCCACACACTGGACCTTCTGTGCTGAAGGTCACATGGGAGTCGTCAGTTTTCCGAGAATCACGAGGAGGGTGCGGCAGCTGGGCCCAGCCCCCCCCCCCCCCCCGCAGATGCCATCTCACAGGGGTAAGGGGAACAATCTTCCCCAGTTTCCTCACGGTTGCCAAGGGAGCCTGTGGCATGGGTGGTTTTGTTTGGGGTGTGGGTGGCCGCCCTGGGAGGAGACCTCCGGGCAGGGAGTTGGTCCAAGAAGCTCCTCAATTCTAGTTACTCTGACCACTGTCAACGTTCCACCCTATACCCCAGGGGGCCAGGGCTGAACAGAGGCCGCATAGGGGTCTCAGGCTGTGCCTCCTCCTCACTCTGGCCCCACTCCTGGCACAAGAGACGCCAACCACCCTTTTCAAAACCCTCCTCAAGCGCTCAGGCCTTGCCTGGCCTTGTGCAGGGGACAAGCTCACCCGGTTTGTTTCCGCCTTTCCTTGGAAGACCCAGGGTGGGGGCCCCCAACAGTCAGCAAGCAGCTCCCTGAGGCCCATCGCAGGCTGCAGACTGCCCTAAACAGATTAATTTTTTCAAAAACATCTCCTTTTTCCCCACCTCCCAATCCAAAAGCCAAATGGGTTGAATATCTATGCCCTTTTGGACTTGTCACCCTGCAATTACAAATACTGTTTTCTGCACAGACAAGATCTTGCTTGTCATTATTCTGCAACTGCCTTTTTCCACTTACTACATCCTGACCAGTCACTAAGCATTCCATCCTGGCGGGGATAGCTTTTCTTATGAAATGCTTCAAACCTCCAGGCCCCTGGTAACAAAACCATGCCAAAACCATGACCCACGCCCCTCAAGCGGCAACTTCGGGAGTTTAGCTTTTTAATCAACTTGCTCCCAACCATTTTTAAAACAACAAAATCACAGCAGGGTTTCTTAACCAAAGACCCCGTAAGCACAGCAGGTACAGCTCACTGGGGGCTGCCCGGGTGCCAGCGTGGGGACACGCCCCGCTTCCCCCAGGGGCGCCTGGGCGCTGACGTCACCGGCGCTCACGAGGCGGCGCGGCCGCCCGCGGAGTCACGCGCTGCAGCCCCGCTGCAGCCCCGCTCCCGCCCCGCCGCCGCCGCCTAGGGCAGTGACGCGCCCTCCGCAGAGATCCCTCCGCCGCCGCCGCCTGGAATTTTCCAGTCGCCCTGCCGGCCCTTTTTTCGGACCTCGGCGGGGAGGGGTGACCTGAGGCGACCCCCGCAGTTCCCTTCGCCCCCACCGGGAGCGGCCCCAGCCCGCCTCCCCCACCCAGCCCCCTCTCGGGGACCGGTGTTCCCTCACCCCAACCCCCAGGAAAGGGCATTTCTCCTCCACGGAATCCGTCTCCCAAATGTGACCTTGAGACTTGTCCTCGATCTCCTGAAGCACTGCTAAGGGGGGTGGGGGGTGGTAACTGGGGCAGCTGAGGGGCGGACACCCCGGGAGACCGAGAACCACCTCGAGGCGTCTCCTTGGGCAGGGTCGGGGAGGGACTTCTTTTCCAGTGGCAGTGGAGGAATCGTCCCGTTGAGCAGTGCCCCGGTGATGCGGCCCTGGCCTATAAAAACAAAAGTTGGGGCCTGTCCAGCAGGAGTTAGCCACAGGGAGGGTCGCGCTGCTGGGCTTAGCTGTGGGGTGGCAGTGGCCAGTTTAGGGCTTCAGAGGGCAGACGGGGGAGATGACAGAGTTAGACGAGACAGGGGGCGTGGGGGTACAAGGAACAGGAAGGTCGAGGAGGAGACCAGGTTTGGGGGGCGGCTGTGCTGGGCAGAGCTGCGTTGGAAGTGCCCGCAGTCGCCCAGGGGGAGGACAACCGTCTAGGCCAGGCTGTCGCTGCCGCCCGCTGGGGATGGGCACTTGGCCTCTGGGAGGACGCCGCTCCTGCGCGGGCTGAGCGGTCCCCCAGTGCCTTGGTCTCTGTGGAAGGAGGAAGGCAGTGAGAGACAGGAGGAGGTGGAATTGGGCAGTTGATGCCCTGAGAATGATCGGGAAGGAAGGCAGTGGGGTGCAGGGCCGCAGGTGGGCCGGGAGGACAGACCTTGACCTTGTCAGTACCAGCAGCCCCCTTTTTTCCCCAGACAGAGGGTTGTGAACCCGCCCGGGGATGAGGCCTGGTGTTGTGGAAACCGCACTTAGCTTCGCGGGCCGGACAGCTCTGGCCCCGGGTGGTATGTTATTTTGGCTGGGCGTGGGACAGGGGCCAGGCCAGGCCCAGCCTAGTGCAACCCAGGTCTGGGTGTGAGGCGAGACGCCTGGTCGGAGGTGAGGGTGGCCCGAGTCATAGGTAAGGTGCCACCCTAAGCCGTTAATGGTGTGGCATCTTAGGTATCGGACAGGCGGGGGCTGCTGAGGCAGGATGTTTGTGTGTCTGGACAAAATTGACCCACACTTTATTTTCCAGGTGGCAGCGCTCCCCTTTGGACTTTCCCTCTGGGTTCGGTGCTAACCTCTTCTGTGAGCTTGCTCTGCCCCTCCTCCTCCCTTTAACTCTGTCAAGGTTATCACTTCACTTAAAACCTTGCTTCTGGTAACCTGGTAAGCCTGGGAAAGTTGCTGAAGTCCCTGTTGGAGTCGGTATTGTTGGTAATCGCAAGGAGGAAGGGCCTTCCCGCTGAGACTGGGGTGGGGCGGGTTGGTGTTGCTTGCTGGTGGAGAGGGTGGGGATCGAGCCCACCCTTGGGTGGGCCCGCAGCTGTGGCTCCAGCCGAAAGTTACAAAAATGCCTCATGGACCGTGGTTTGTTATAGTGTTCATCATGGCGACCAGATGGCACCAGGAGAAATGGAGCCCCTGGCCAGTGTGAGTCATAGCAGTGCAGGAGGGGAGACCCTGGAGGAGAGAGCCCGCCTAAACGGATGCCTGCAGATTGAATTTCCAGAGGCTTAGGAGGAGGAAATTTTCCAGTGTCGTGTTTCCAGGCCTTGCTCAGGAAGCCCTGTATTCAGGAGGCCATCACTTCGGGTTTTCAGATGAGCTTGAGGGGGCAATCTTAAGTCCAAAGCAGATGCATCCGGGGCGTCGGCAGATGTGTTTGACTGTTTGATCCAGGAGCACCAATCTCCAGGCGCATGAATGCCAGCAGGCGCCTCTCCTCTCCTGGGGTGGAGGTTTTTCAGATGCTGCATCTAGGTTGAGCCTCCTGTCATACTAGTTCTTCTGTGCTACGAACCTTGCTTCAAGAAGATTCTTAAGCTGTAGGACGTTTCAATGTGATGCCACAACACCTTGTAGATGGAGCTGGCAGATGGAGCCCAGTGACCCTGTTACCTATCCTCCTACCTGCCTGCCTGCCTGCCTGTGTGTGTGGTCGGAGGAATTCTTAGTGTGATGATGTCATCTGTGTGGGAAGGTGTTCAAGTTTGAAATGCCTAGACGAATACGTAGATGAAGCAGATGGCAAACTGGGAGGGGGGTCATTGTTGTGCTAGAGTCTGGGAGGGTACAAGTTGGTCATGTGCAAGTTCTGGTAGAAATGGCAGGTCTAGTTTGGGTATTCGGATTGCGTTGTGGATTTCTAAGAGAAGGGAATGGTTAGGGTCCCATAGTGAGTCTTTGATTCATCTTGCTCTGTATGTTTTTTGACTTGAATTTCACCTGATTAGATTTCAGAATAATCTTGGCTTTCAAAGGGAGGACCCTGAGGTGAGGGTTGTAGGTGAGGGGGAGGGCCCAGCTTGGCACTGGTACTGGGGAGGGGTGGTGGGGGTGAAGAAAGGAGAGGGTTGGTTGGGTGTTTGTTGCAGAGGGTGGGGGTGGCAGGGAATGTGGTTTGAAGGGGGAATTCTCTGGAGAAAAGATCAGTAGGCAGGGCTCTGAGGAGTTTAATAGAGCTCATGGGCAAAGAAAAGGCTGGTTAATACTAGTAAATTGCTAATGCTAATTGTTGCTTGGAAGCACAGAAATTGCTTGGGAACTTTCTAAAGAGCTTAGAACTCTTAAGTGCAAGGGAAAAAGCAAAATTGTTTTGCTCTGCTGCAAGGTGGGGAAGTCTGAATATCAGTCACTTGAAAGAAGGGTGTCCAAACCTTGCATCAGCAGGGGATTAAGGTCCTTGACTGCTTCGCAAGCTTCTTAAGTGGTATATCTGAAGCTGAATGTGTTCGTATTCAGGAGCAGTTAAGTCTTAGGAAAAAAACTTTAAATGCCCAAATTGTGGGCTTTTAAAGTGGTTTTATTTTTGGTGTGCACTTAAGAGATTAGATGTACTTTTCTGGGTTTGTAACTCATACTTGTTCACCAAGATATTTTGTGATTGAAATTTCTGAGCAAAGTGAAAAACAGTGATCTCTAAAGGAAGTTTATGTTACGTTGTGCCTTATAAACACATCTCGTCTTTGTGGTCAGTATTAATAACAGCAAAAGTTGCCTGCTGTCCTCTCTTCATACTCATTGTAACCAGGAGAACCAAGTAGCCTTTTGTGGTCACTGTAAACTTACTGTAATATTCGGTAGCAAACAATCCACGTGCCCTTGCTAAGGCTGGAGTTAATAACCATTGTATCTTTAGTTTGAATGTTTGTGCCTTTTAATGATCCAGTATTAGAGGGGAAACTGAGCGAAAATCAGTTTGGGGAATAAAAGCAAAACTGGGGTGCGAGGGGCCCTCACTAAAAGTGTCTGTGTGTAAAAATTAGGGGAAAGATCTGAAAACCCTTCATGATAATACTTGTTTGCGAGATGCATCTATTGAGTTGGTAAATTAATATCAGTGGGTTTTTATCATGTCCTTCACCTTACGTTCTACTTTAAAAACTTTAAGTCCACAATACTTTTTGCCCTTGGGATTTCTTTTTCTGTCTTCTGGGTTTTTTTTGTTTTAATGTTTAAAAATATGTTGGCATCATAGTTGTTCTTAACCTGTGACTTGGGCGTGGTATAATTACTGTCATTGGCGTTTACAGAGTGTTAGTCATGGGTGTGTGAGGAAATATGTTCTGGTACGCTGTTGTGAAATTGAAACTGTAAAAGTAGATGGTTAAAGTAATTGTATGTTCTGTATGGTAAGAACTGGTCGTGTTGCATCATGTACGTGATTACTAATCATTTTTCTTCCCCTTTACAGCACAAATAAAAGTTTGAGTTGTAAACTCATTGGAATTGTTGTATTGCTATGTTATGTTTTTCGGCCTTTATCTTTTCTGTAAATCAAGTTGCCTTCATAATGAAATTCGATGTATCTTATTGTAGATTTAGGCCTAAATTCACTTTTCAGTAGCTCCGGCGAATTGGGGTCACTCTGTCGAGTGTGGTAACCTTGAACGGAACTGGAACGTCCTGAATGGTGGGGGGAGGCGTTCTGCCCTCTGTTGGGAGTGCAAAACAGATTGCGGAAAGTGTCAGTGCTGAACCACCTGGCCAATGAAGGTCAGTGTCAAGGTGGGAGAGTACTTTGTAGTATCCTGGGGGTTTGTCTGGTTACCTTTCGAAATGGTATTGTCCTAAAGGGACCTATTTTTATTCTCATTTGTTTAGGAGAAGAGAAACAGTCTAAATAAGAGGAGAATGGGACGTGTAATGTGTGTTTTTTCCGTATTTGTGGGTCTTTGGGACACGAATGTATCTGGGATTTGGGTCTAAGCACAGAAGTCTCAACTTACTAAAGAGTTAGGCTTTGGCTTAAATTTTCTTCTTCGGTGCTGATGAAAGTTTGGGCTCGATTGTGTAAGCGGTGTCCGAGCTGGCCAAGACTGCCAAGGGCCTGAGTAGAAGCTCTAGGAATCCACAGCTGGGTCATGATAAATCCATTCTGGGTCCTGGGTGGGGATGTGGCAGCAGCGTGTCATCCTGGGAGCTGATTCCTTGTACTAGCTGTTAATGTGTGTACTCAGGCTGTAAGGTTTTGCCTCACAGGAGACAACTGCTAGGGTTGACTGGAAATAGAACCACTGATCACCGGTCTGGCATAGTACTTGTTCTCCAGTGAGGCCGTATACTGGGCTAGCCGGGCCTTTATTAGACTTATAAGGCCCAAAACAAAGCTGGCCTTTTGCCAAAGCAGTGAGTCAGCGACCTAAGCCTGCACAAGCGTCCCACAATAATGACCTTTCCCCTACACATCTGTTCATAACAGGTTCCTTCATAATGTTTCAAACTGCCAAGGTCCCAGGCTTGCTCCTTTTGAGGAGCTGATAAAACATTCTTGTTTGCAAGCAATGTTTTCCCTGGAGCCTTGTGAGTTCACCAGGCAGAACATTCTGTTTGCAGAAAAGTCCAGCCAGTCTTGTGGATGCCTCGCGTGCAAGAACAACCACATTTCATGCCAGGTCTCCTTCATCTCCCCCTCTTTTGTTGGCATTTTGACGGACAGCATGTGCAACGGTCTTAACGATACCTTTTAGTTGTTGTCGCTTTCTCCAGCGCCGGAAGACTACATAGAGAAGCAAGCATAAAATCAATATTAGCACCAGATTTCCCAAAGAAGTAGACAATAGCGTATTTACATGCCCCAAGGGATTCAAACGGTTTAACCCCTCCTGCGGTCCCTTTAACAGGTCATCCCAGTCAATTTAGGCAATTCTTTACTGAAAGTGTCTGCAAGAGATTGTTCAAGTTGCATTATCTCTGCAGTTAAATTTTGATGACCCCGTAAAGAGCACTTAATCTTTTCCCATCCTTCTGACATGTTAAAATGCAGTGGGGTGACACATTTGTGTAGAATTCCAATCACATTTCAATATACTGCGGGTAGCAAGAACTGTCGGTTGATCTCCTAACCAAGATACAGTATGTTGCAAGTTAATTACATCTGTAGCTAATTGAGCATCTAAGTCCTTTTGCTGTTGCCATAAGGCATGAGAGTCTTTATGCCATTCCCTGATAAAGTCCGCAGTTTGTATCTCTTGCTGCAGTGCCAGGCTGGCCACAGCGGCCGTCGCAGTAACGGATGCAACCGCAAGGATAGTCGTGACGATCAATCCCACTAGTCGACGGGAGCGACGTAGAACAACTTGAAGGGCATCATACAGATGTGAAACAGCAATAGAGTCAGACCAAGGACGTGTCAGATTAACAGGCATCCAAAGCTCGGAACGAGCTTTTACAATTATTACAGATTTGTTGGTATCTTTGATTGTCTCCCACCAAGTTTTGTTTACACATTGAGTAAAGACACAATCAGCAGTACAATTTACATATCCCTCTGTAACATTTAACATAATTTTCCCTGATAATAAGGAATAGGGAAATTTGACGCAAGCAGTTGCAGTGTAGGTGTTATTCTTATGCAGATGAACCTGAAAAAGATCTAGAACTTTGAGACACATTTAAGGTAAAATTATTAGTCCATAGAGTCAAATGTCCAGAAACGGCCCACAATTGAAACAAGTGCCCTGCCGCTGAGGTTTCAAGGGAGTAGCCATTTTGGAAATCAATTTATCTTCTTCTTCCTCCTCGTCACTATCCTCAGAATCTGAGCTAGACTTAGAAATCCCATCAGGAGGCTCCAGCGGAGGGGAGGGAAAGACCCTCCTTTTCATCTCCTCCTTCCATCGGAACGTCCTCATAATGAGCCTCACTACGACGGGAGTTAACCTCACTATCTGTTTCAAAAATTTCAAGCGCTGAGTAACGGCGCTACAGAGAGTCCAGAGTTTAAGAGACATAACGTTTCCCCGCTGATGTTGCTTCCGCAACTCCTTTTGAACTTGCTTCCACTCCCCAAACTTAACTGAGCCTTTGTCTGATGACGAAACCAATAAAATGGCATTCAATATGCCGAAATAATTCATTCAAGCGCCGAGAGACGCTTTTATACCGATGGACTTAAGGAGTCCCTTTATGAGGTCTAAATACTGTGACCTTAGGGAATTAGAATTCCCCATGATTTATTTATTCCCGACAGTCCCCCTTTCACTTTTCCAGGGTGAAGTCCCTTTCGGTTTTGTCAGATCCTGAAAGTCCCCCTTTCGCAATGCCCGGGTGCTTACCCTTTCAGTCTGGTCGAGACCCACGTTGGGCGCCAGATGTTGCTGACGAAATGAATACACGAACACCGGTTGCTGTGCAGTAGTCTTCTTCTCTATACTCTATACCCCGAGCTAGCCGGCTCTTTATTCTTATAGCCCCTAAACAAAGCCGGCCTTTTGCCAAAGCAGTGAGTCAGCGACCTAAGCCTGCACAAGCGTCCCACAATAATGACCTTTCCCCTACACATCTGTTCATAACAGGTTCCTTCATAATGTTTCAAACTGCCAAGGTCCCAGGCTTGCTCCTTTTGAGGAGCTGATAAAACATTCTTGTTTGCAAGGAATCTTTTCCCTGGGCCTTGTGAGTTCACCAGGCAGAACATTCTGTTTGCAGAAAAGTCCAGCCAGTCTTGTGGATGCCTCGCGTGCAAGAACAACCACATTTCATGCCAGGTCTCCTTCAGTGAGGCTCGGAATAGAAGCCACTGTCAGCCTCTGGCTAAGAACACTTGTTTCCCAGGGAGTGGAGAGGAACCGTTGACTGGGCAGGGAGATGAGACCTGAAATGGGACCAAAACAAAGGGGTGGGAGAGCATGGCCTGAAGACTTACTCCCCTTGGAGAGAGTAGCCCTGGGGCTGGCTGCTGTCCTCCCTCCTGGGGTCTTGTTTGCCTGCCTCGTCAGTCCTTGGTCCTTGTGAACCGCGCGTGCGCGTGCAAAGAGAAACTGCAGTTAGGTGCTGGGGAGGAGGCAGCTGCTGTGCCCATCAGCAAACCGCCTGCCCAGCTCATGGCTCTGCTGAGATGCGCACTGCCATGGGCAGGTTCAAGGCTCCCTTCCCTGCTCACCACCCCGTTCCCCACCCCGCAGAACAATCTAGGCCTCCTTTCCTACCTTACCACTTTGCTTTTTACCCCAACCCCACCCCTGCCCACCTGCCTTGCCCTCTTCAGAACTTGTTTCTCGTCTTTTATACAATGGTTAGAAAACTCTTGCTTCCGACCTTGAGGGTCACTCTTGTAAACCCCTCTGTGCAAGTGGCCTCTTTCCTAGCAACTGTGGCGGGCTGATGAAGAATTTGTCCACACGAGTATAAATGTTTGGCACTGGAGAGGTTGTGAAGTGGGGTTTGTTAATGGAGCAGAGAGCAGGCAGCGGAAGGCTGTGCTCACACCCTCCTGGCCTCCACCCAACCCGGGAGCTCCTGAGATGGTGCCGCCTGCCTGATCTTTACCCTCAGATATCCACATGACAGGTGGGATGGGCCGCAGGTGTTGATGGCAGCAGTTGGTGATTATCGCTAATCAGCTTGCATCCTTGTGCAGAGATCTGAATTCAGCTTTTCCCCTGGACTCCCAGGGGCACTGGATGATACAGTGAAACTCAGTGGGCTTGTGGCAGTTAGTAGAAAATGGTGATCTGATGCAAATTAAAAGGAGTGGGACATAAGAATAGCAGAAGTAAGTATCTATTGAGGCTCCTCTGTGTGCCCAGGTTGTACACACTGAGAACTGCAAAAATGGCCTGTGTTACGAAAAGGGAGCCGGACAATCACTGACCCCCACTCCACCCTGTTGGCTGCCCTGGGTTTGTCTTAAGTGACAGTGGCCATTAAGGGACTCCTAGGATCTTTTATGAAGTGCCGGGGCTAACCTCTGTGTGCTGGAGGAAATGGTAACCCTTGGCCTTGCAGAGTACTTGTTGTGTGATGCTGATACTAAATGAAATGCCAAAATAGGCTTACAGGTGTTTGTGGTATGTTATAAATTTTCGTATTTAAAACACAAAAATATACTGATACAGTCTGGAAATGGTAAAATGAACATGGCAAAATAACCCCAAATAAGAAAGATGTGAAGCTGTGTGTCCCCAGGAGTGTGGCCGTGACTCTCCTCTGAGTGGGATGGCCCTCCACCACCTTCCAGCCTGCCACAGGCCTTCACTCTCCAGGCCCCTCAGCTCTGCACCGCCTTCCCTCGCTTTTAAATAACTCTTGAATTCTCATATGTATAAAGGGTTTATTGTGAAGTTTACAAATAAGACAATTGAAAAAACGAAGTCCTCAATAATCTTCTAACAAATTATTATTGGCATATTTGCTTCTAGAGTTACTTCCTATGCATAGGACTATGCATTCTTATACAAAAATGGGATTATACTGTAAATTCTGTTTTGCAAGTCTTTTCATTTAATATATAGTGAACATCTTTTCCTGTCATTTGAAGCGTCTTTTTTAGTGGTGACATATTGTTCCATTGTATGACTGTCTCCATTTGAACATTCTCATTTAGGTGACATGTAAGTTATTTTCCAGTGGCTTTTTTGTCTTAGGAAGTAATGCTGTGATGACCTTCGCTGTGCCTCAAACTTGATCACGTCTGTTTTTTCTGTGGGAGACAGGAAAACTAGGTTCCCATTGCTAACTCGCCTTCAGGAGAGGGGTTTCTAAATTAGCATTCTCTCTAGTGAGGTGAACTTGCCTTCCCTTTTCCTTAGAAGCTAGGGTATAATCATATTAAAAACCTTTGCTCCTTGGGTGGATCCAGGCTGCTTTAACTGTGGATCTGAGCACTGCTCCTCTGCTGGTGAGATGGAACATCCCCTACGTGTTGGGCCATTTGCACTTCTGGGTGTGCATGTGTGTGAGTTTCTGCTGTTTAATTGCTCATTTTTCTATCGGTTCTTTTGTAAAAGCAGTTACACATGAAGGAAACTGATAATGCTTGGTTATGTTTGGTGCAAATATTTTCCCCAGTTGTAGATTGCCTTTTTGTTTTGTTTATTGTGTTTCAGACACACAAAAGTATGCAGTTTTGCTGAGGTGGTCACTCTGGTTTCTGCACTTGCCGTTAGCTTAGCTCTCTCCTACCCCAAGAGTATGTAACTATTAATCTGTGTTTTCTGTGACACTCGCATGGTTTCATTTTTTACATTTAAACATCTCATCCAGCTGGAGTTTCTTGTGGTCTGCCTGTGTGTGCGTGGCAGGTCTGATGCCCTCTCAGAGCCCCAGAGCTCTCTCGCTCCCAGTGCCCGCCTCCCTGTGGCCAGATGGTGGCACAGAGTGGCAAGAGAGCCCCGTCAGCCTGAGGGTTGTCACAATGGGACAGTTCACTGGAGAAGACCTCGGGGGCAGGCAGGATGGTCTCCTCAGGGGATCCTGGTGATTGCTCCTCTGCAACTTGCCATTCCCCCATCTTAACTGGTTTGGACCTGTGGTAACCAGAGTGGGTGGGTGGGTCAAAAGCAGGTGCAAATGCACTGGTCTGGGTCCTATTCCTAACTTGGCCACTTAGCAGCTTTATGACTAAGGAGCAAGTCACTGAAGCTCGCCGAGCCTGTTTTCCGTGTCTGTGAAATGAGGGTCAATGAAGGTAGTACGTGTGTGGCACACGGCTGTTCTTCACCCAGTGCTTCCAGTGACCCCTTCCTCTCCTGTGTTGCGCCCCCTCAGATCTAGCCACTTTCTCCTGGCTCCCTCTCTCCGTCCTCTAGCTGCCTGCCCTGCTCTGGGCCTTTCTTTTTGTAGCGGTGATCACCGTGCATATTCTGGTCTGTTCCGGTTCTCTGTTTAATTTTGCTACTGTTCACATTTCCCTGTATCAGCCGAGTCTACCAACACGCTGGAAGTGGCTTTTTCTCAGCATTGTTAATTCTCCCACAAGAATTCCATGGATGGGCTTCTAGAGGTCTGTGGTGCTCTGAACTTGTATATTTTTCTGTGGAAAGCAGAAGCTTGCTGAAGGATCCGTGCCCCTAAAAAAGGATCATGAATGAACAATCGTGTTATTTTCTCCCATTGTGCTTATGCTGTGGGATGTTTAGTCAGCCTCTCAGGTTGTAAACAGTGTGTGTTGGCTAACTTCGCTTGTGCCGCTGTGAGCATCTCTAATTTGATGTGCTTGCACACTCCCCAGAGTGGCACTGCCTGGTCGGTGAGCGTGCACAGACTTAGAACTCCTGTCACCGCTCATATACTCTCCAGAAAGCTTACACCTCCTCGTGTGAGTATCTTCATTTCCCTGCATAGTTGCTACCATCAGGTTTTTTCTATTTTATTTACTCATTGCTACTTCCTAAAAAATTTGTGGTAAATTACACGTAACATCAATTTTACCATCTTAACCATTTTCAAGTTTACAATTCAGTAGCGTCAAGTATATTCATATTGTTGTGAATATAACCAATCTCCAGAACTTGTGCATCTTACCAAACTGAAACTGCATCCATTAAACTACCCATTTCCTTCTCCGCCGACTCCCTGGCAACCCCCTTCTACTTTTCTGTTTCTATGAGTTTGACTACACCAGGTACCTCATACCAAGTGGAATCATACAGCATTTGCCTTTTTGTCACTGTCTTATTTTCCATAGCCTAATGGCCCTTAGGTTCATTGATGTTGTAGCATGTGTCAAATTTTTTTTCCTTTTTGAAAGAGCTGAATAAGATTCCGTTGTATGCATATACCACATTTTGTTTATCCCTTCATCCATCTGTGAACACTTGGGTTGCTTGCACTTTTTGGTTATCGTAAATAATGCTCTTATGAACATAGCTGTACAAATCCCTTTTTAAGACTCTGCTTTCAGTTCTTTTGGGTCTATACCCAGAAATGGTATTGCTGGATCATATGGTATTTGTCTTTTTAACTTTTTTGGGAATCACCATGCTGTTTTCCATAGCCGCGGCACCATTTTACATTCCCGTCAACAGTTTACAAGGGTTCCGGTTCTCCACATCCTCACCAACGCTTGTTACTCTGTTATTTTTTTATGGCAGCCTTCCTGATGGGTGTGAGGTGATATTTCATTGTGGTTTTGATTTGCATTTCTCCAATGATTAGTGATGTTGAGTGCCTTTTCATAGGCTTGTTTTATGTATCATCTTTGGAGAAATATCTTTTCAAGTCCTTTGCCCATCTTTAAAAATAAGTTATTTTTTATTGATTTGTAAGAGTTCTTTATATATTCTGGATATTAACCCCTTATCAGAAATGTGATTTACCAACATTCTCTCCCATGCTGTAAGTTGCCTTTTCACTGTTGGTTGTGTCCTTTGATGCACGGAAGTTTCTCATTTTGATGTAGTCCAGTTTATCTATTTTTACTTTTGTTTCCTGTGCTTTTGGTGTCATGTGCAAGAAATCATTGCCAAATCCAACGTTATGAAGTATTTGTCGCTACTTTCAAAGGTACTTTGGTAGTCAGTCTGTATTTGTGTAATTACAGGCTAGTCTGACTTTTACCACATGATTTATCATCTGCATTTATCCACTTTGACCACTTAGCATTTGAAATTTCCGTATTGATTTTTGTACTGATCATGAATTCTTTGTAGTCGGGAAGGTAAGCTTTTGCCAATTGTGATTGTCAAACTTATTCTCATTTTTCCTTTTATTATTGAAGCAGAAAGTGTCTACTATACAAGGACTTTTAAGAAATTAGTCTGTTAAAGTCTAATAATGACTAATAAGTCTGTTGGGTTTGTTTCTGACTACTTTTTCTTTAGTAGCCACACATGGATGTGCTCCCAGAGTTACAGTAAATACTTTTCTCCATTTAAGGAGTTATGAATCCAACCTAGGAATGGGTCTAAATTAATTATTTACACGGATAAAGTTGAAATATCAAACTTTTATTGAGTAAACACTGTCTTTGCTATTTTACTCTAGGTCTGTCAATATTAGCTTCTTAGAATTATCTGCCTGCATCTGTTTCTAGAATTTTTAGTCTCTAGTTTTTATCGTTTCTAATCAAATACAATGAATTTTAGTGACTGTCACTTAATTAATGCTTTAAAATCCATAAGTCGAAGCTGTGATGCCCCTCAAGGTAAGACGTTCTCTCTCCTTGTCGGAACTTGAGTACACAGAACTGGCTTAATCTTGGCTTCATGACATAACGTGGCTGTCTTTTATTGACTTCCTTGATGTTTTTCATAATGTGGTAAGCATTTCTGAATCTTCTATTCAGTATAAAAACTGGGACCTTAGACAGTAGCTTCCTCCACCTGTGTGGTCGCCTCCCGCCACCCCAGGCCAAGGTGATCGTCATCCTGAATACTGGCTTTATCTTTTACTTGGTTTCTTCATATAACTTAAAAAAAAGAATTCTTACCTAAATGTGGTTTTTAAAATATGTATTTTCATTTTAGTTATTTCTAACTTTATACAACACATATTATGTTGTACGTAATCTTCTGGAATTTTTCTCATTTGATATGGCATTAAGGTTCATCTCCTGCCTGGTGTGTATTTCCTTTAGTTGCTTGCTGGGGAGAGGCCATCGTGTGACTCTGCCCCAGTTAGTTCATCGATTTTCCCATCGCTTCTCTTCTTCTAAGTGCAATTATATAAGTGATTGGGGCTGCTTGCTTCTTACACAGAATTAAAACTTGAGCAACAAAGTTGGCACTGCCTATCCTGTCCCTCCACCCCCAGTGGTGCCCAGTGTTACCCCTTTGCTGTGTTTCCTGCCAGACCTTTTTCTGTTCATTTATTTCCACATCTAAAAGAGAGATTGTTTTCTTTTCTTTTTCTTTTCTATATAAGTGGGGAAAATACCACTGTAAAACTGTGTGTCATTGTTGACTTGCTTTTTCAGTTAACAGTGTGAGACTCATATGAGTACAGACGGAACTGCCATCATTCCGTTAATCACCTGCGTGCTGCTCCTTAACGCGGATGTGCTGTGAGGGATTTAGCTGTTCTGAAATTGATGGACTTTTAGACTGTTTCCAATCTTTGTGAAGTGGCAACAATACTGTGTGATCATCACAAACACCCCCTTGTGCCCACGCCTGAGTGGTTCTCAGAGTAGATACCAAGGAGTAGAATTGCTGGGTCCTGGGACGTGAATCAGACCTGTTGCTATATTCTGCCCTTTTGTCTCCCCGAGTGGGTGTACAAATTTGCCTACCTGAGGGTAAGAGTATCTGCTTGTCCATATCCTTTTCGACACTCTACACAGCAAACTTTTCCATTTCTGTCAGTTCCCTTGTTTGATCTGTCCGTGTGTTCACAGTGACCTACCGAGACTTTAATTGGTTCAGTGGATTCTTGGCATCTGTGGGTTTAACACCTGTGGGTGTAAAGCTGATGGGAGCCACAGGTTCCTGGACACATTATCATGTTCCTGAGGTGTAATTTTTTATATTACTCATGTCTTGAGGCTGCTGAGGATGCCCAGCCTAAACTCTGCATCCGTGTCACACTGTGGCTTTCTTCTCTGCTTATCTCTGCATTGCAGCAAGTCCTCTGAGGGACCAAAATTTTGCAAATTTAGGTAAGGCCATGACTAATGTTGCTATATTATATACTGTTGTATGGCTGGGGCTATGGAGTGTATAGTAGTGGCAGAATTTATTTTAATCTCTTTATAAATTACTGGTCTTGTATTGAAAATTCAAACACTACAGAAAAACAGTAGAAAAAAATTCCTCTATGATTCCTCTCCCAAGGTAACGACTAATAACAATTTATTTTCCTTCCGTGGACATACTAATATTTATCCTATTACTATCTCCTTTAAAATGGAATCATACAATATGTACTGTTCTGCAACTATTTATTATTTTCATGGCTCCGTAATATTTAATCTTGTGCATGTTGCTATAGTTCTTTTAACCATTTTCCTACTGATGGGGTTTTAGGTTATTTCTGGGGTTTTCTGACCATTGCCAACAGTGCTGCCGTGAGCATCTTAAAATGCCTCTGTGCAGATGCTCATGCGTGCCCTGGGCTCATGAGGCCTGGAGGAGGAGTGAGGCCTGTTTTCACAAGCTCCAGGGTTCGCACCCGCTCTGGCACAGCCCATCAGCGCTCCCTCCCTCGTGCTGTCTGGGTCTGAGGTGCTTGGTCTTCTGAGGTGAGTTGAGAGTTTCTGCTGCCAAAGTCGATGACTGCCGGCATTCTCCTATCGTGCCGTGGAATTCAGGTAAAACTGTTCAGTTGCTAAAACTGCTCGTCTGTACAAGAATTTAGCATAGGATGGTGCCGGACTTATTTTAGCACAAAACCAGAATGGACCCAATAAGCCTCAGAGTCCACTTCCTGGTGGTCTTTCCCCTAAGCAGCTTGAAAAACAAATTGTTCTAGGAAAGCGGTTAAGGTATTTGCAAAAAGTGTTGTTCAATGACAGCTTGCTTGTTGGGGCTGTTGAAATCTTCTCCCCTGGCATCGTCTGCAGGCGTTTCTAGGCCTCAGTGGAACAGGAAGCCCCCTCCTGCCCTGCCACACAGCACAGCTTTGGCTGCTTTCTGGTTTACGTACATGCTACCTCTCTCCTTTAAGAGGCCACCAAGTGCCAGGAACACGGTATGGACCCCACTCTGGCTCTTACAGGGTCTCAGGGAGCTTTCTGTAGGGAACGGCAGGGCCCAGGATCTGCCCCAGCGGCCTGGTTCTCTCCCCTCGCAGCCTCTGGGGCGATCTGTGCACTGTCCCTCTTACTCTTCTGTCGATGTGACAACTGTGTGACCCACCAACTGTGTGTCAAAGCAAGGCCCTGCCTCTGCCCCTGCTGACCCCAAGGGTAAAGGCTCTGCGAGTTTTCTTCCAATTTATTTAACTGAGGGGTGTGAAATGTTCCAGGTGATCCCTGCGCGTGGTGACAGTTCAAACCCTGTCAGAGATACGGTGAGGTTTCTCTCTACTCCCCGCTTCCCTTCCCACAGAGGCAACTGTTGTGGCCAGTTGCTGGTTTCTTTCTAGAGAGTTCTGTGTCCATATTTCGCTACAGTGGTCCTGGTATACTGCATACCCTGGCTTGCACTTTGGGTTGTTCAGTTAACAGTATGCCTAGGAGCTCACTGCGATCTGTATTTATGGTCTGCATTGGGTTTTTCAGTGCTGTATGGCAGTCCATGTTGAATCATCCATTTCTCTTTCAGGGAACAATTGGGTTGTTTCTAGCCATTTTTATTGTGTATAAGGCTATCCTGGGTACCTGTCTACATGTGTTTTTATGTATAAGGGCAACTCTGACTGTGTGGGAAAGTTTCCTTTCAGGGGAATTCTGGGTCCCAGTCCATGTACCTTTCTAAATATGAGGGACGCCGCCAGCTTACACATCCTTAGGGAAGTTGTTCCAATTGACATTCCCTACACCTTTACCGACATTGTGTTCTTGAACTTGGTGATTTATAAATATGAGAAGTGCAAATAGCATTTCATGGTTGTTTTGATGTGTATTTCTACTGGGCTGTGTACTTACTGAGTTTTGAGCTCTTTATATATTAAAGAAATTAACCCTTTGTCATTTGTGTTGAAAATACTTCCCCATTTGTCATTTGATCTTTTAAATTTTATGCTAAAAACTTGCTGTTTAGAATTTTAAATATATACATACTCATTTATCAGTGTTTCCTTTTATAGCTTTTGGATTTTATGAGTAGTTTAGAAAGGCTAATCCAGCTCAAGATTATTTTTTTTTGTTAAACTCCATGTTTTGTCCCAGTTCTTTTAAGATTTTATTTTTATTTTCTATTTGACTCTTGGATCTATCTGGACTTTGGTGTAATGAGTGTTTTAGGAATAGTTAGCCATTGTCCCTACATAATTTACTGATGAGTACGTCTATTCACCATTGATCTGTCAATTCATGTGCTGGTTCCATCTTTAAATATCGTAGTTCTCTACTCAATACATGGTAAGGACAGCCCTACCTCATTACTTCACTCTTCCAGAATTTTCCTGGCTATTCTTCCACGTTTACTTTTCCTTCCCTGCAATGTCTTCATGCTGTTGTCTTCCTGTGCGAGAATAAGATGTGTCTTTTCATTGCTCAGGTGTGCTTAGTGGGGCTCTGTAGTACGTGGAAAGCTGTGATCCAGGTGATGCCTGGTTCTTGGTCTGTCTGCCCTCGTGTCCGGGGTGTCCCTACCCTGCCCCCCTGGCAGCCCCCATGCCCATCTTAATGACCACCCCCTGTCACAGAGCACCTTGTGTTTTTTGCTGTGCCTAATGATTACTAGCTACTGTCAAACTGACAGTGTCCAACTCAGTGGACTTGCAGATGCAATGCTCCTGAACACACTGGCCTGCTGAAAACGCCTGTGTGTTTGTGCAAACTCAGCTTGGGGACAGAATTGGGCCCGTTCTACGTGGAGGCCGGGAGGGTTTCCTTCTCTACCTCTGCCCCTGTGTGCTGGCTCCTGTCACTGGGAGGTTGTGTACCCGTGATGTCTATATGGAATCCTGTTCTGGTGGCCAGCACCTGACCCCGCGCTCGACCCCTGAACGGCATTTTTCTCCTGTCCACAGCCAACTGGAAGTGTTTACAAAATGGGTCGAATGCTTCCCTGCCTTATCAAAGAGATTACACAGACCAGAATTTGCCATTTCTTCAGTGACCCAAGGCCACTGTCATGAACAGGTTGTCCTGTGTGGCACAAAGTGGTTCCTTTCGGGGCTGCTGAGGCGGAGTCCATTTGTCCCCTCACTGACTGTCCTCACCAGCCCAGCCATTCTAGTTAAGGGGCTCCTGTCGCTTTCTTGGGGTCAGCCTACCCGTCCTTTACCGGGCTCGTGTGTGTTGTAGTAGAGGCCGAACTGAAGGTGCCTGGAAGCGAGACAACCAAGCCTTTGCTCCAGCTGCACCCCTAGGTCGGAGGTGGCCTGCATCTCTTCGGAAGTAATGTGTGCGGGCTTGTTTTTCAATCAAACTCTTCTGCTTTCTGCTGATTTTTTCTGACTTACTATTGAAATATAGTAGGATGCTTTTCTGTTTTCTAAGACATTGTTGTGCACAAATATGATTATTTCCTCAAGGGAATTTCTTGGCAGTGATATTACTGGCTCACAGAGTGTGACCAGTGTGAAGGTTCGACTCAGGTTGCCAAGTGTCCTCCTTAAAGTGGGGCACAGCTCAACCTTTGCCAGCCAGCAACATCAGCGGCTCTCCCATCCTTTTCCTGGCTCTTTTTGTTTTTATGTTGACTGATTGGAAGGCAAAAAACAGTGTCTCCATGGTTTAGCTTGTACCTTCTGCTTCTGTGAGGCTGAATGAGCACTGTTTGTGTTTGTGGCTGATCTCTGCATCTGCTTTGTGCTTGTGCAAACTCCTCACATTAAGGACGCTTACCCTCATACGTCATAGAATGTTTTTCAAGTCTGTAGTTGGCCTTTTTAATTTACATGTGGGATCTTGCCGACAGTTTTTCATTTTGTAGTCAAGTCGATTTTTATTATCATGCTTTCGTCCTTTGGTGTTATGCTGTGTTTTCCACTGGTTCCTTTGTGGTTTTGTTTTTGACATTTAACTCTTTCATTCATCTAGAAGTTGTTTTGGTTACAGATGAGATAAGAATCTAATTTAGTTCTTTCAAAATGGCTAGTCAATTTTCCCAACACCGTTTGCTGAATAATTCTGTTTTTTCTACTGATTAGAAATACCACTTGTTAATTATTGTTAATTAAATACTTTAATATAATTGAGTCTGTTTCTGAAATTTCAAGTGTATTCCACTGATCTGTCTTTCCTCATACTTAACCCAATGTTTTTATTATTTTAGCCTTATAATATCTGATTTGACTATATGGTAATAGAGGTCCCTGTTATCCTTTTTTAAAGTATTCAGATTTTTATTGGAATTGTATTTCCTTTATAAATATATCACACTACTAAGACTTTCTATTTAGGAACTGGCCTCCCTGTTCATTCAGGATAGGATGATTTCCATGTCCCTCAGGAATTTTAGACCTCTCTTATGCCAGTTACGCACATTTATGAAGTTTGTTCCTGGAAATGTTATATTCTGTATGTATATATGTATATATTCTGGCAATACAGCATCTCGGCTAAAAGTGTAGGCTTTCGAGTCAGATGACCCTGCTCTCATGCTGGACCTGCCTCTTACTTGTTATCTGTGTGACCATCTCTCTGCTTCAGTTTCCCCATCTGATAGAGGGGATAATCATATTATCTACTAAGAAGCAGGGTGAGGGTTAATGAAATACCATGAGCATAGTGCTTGGTGCTCTCCTGACAGCGAGCGAGCACTGTTCTCTTGGGGTTTCCAAGAAAGTGACAGTCATCTGTAATGATGACGTTGTCCCTGTGATGCGTTCCACTTTTCATGCGTCTCCCTCCTGCCGTGTTGGGATTGGCTGTAATGACTAATGAGCCGTGAGCACTATGGTCTTGTTCCCACCTGAGCCTCTAGTGGGGTCCATGACAGTGGAGGAGGAGGGGCGGGCTGGGCCCGGGAAGGGCGCATAACCCCTAGCAGCCCGCATCAAGTCACCCAAGGGGTGACTGTCCTGCTGGTGGTCCTCAAGACCAGTTGGGTGATCTTCCAATGGAATTTTAAATTTTAATATTTATTTATTGTAACAGGTATTTGAAAATGTCTGGTTTCCCATTCGTGGTGGTAATTACAAAGTTTCCTTTTAAAGTAAATTTCTTTTTTCTGTTTTTAATTGAAATATCATTCACAATACCATAAAATTCACACTTTTGAAGTGTCCAAATCGGTGGGATTAGGCTGTTCACAGTGTTGTGCAACCGTCACCGTTGTTCGTTTCCAGAACGTTTTCATCGTCCCAAACAAGTTCTCTCCCCATAGAACGATAGCCTCCCATCCCCCCTCCATCCCCAGTCACCTTTGTTATACTTTCTGTCTCTGAATTTGCCTGTTCTTGGTACTTCCTCTAAGTGGAATCAGACAGTGTGTATCCTTTTGTGTCCATGTTATTTCACGCGGCATAATGGTTTCAAGGTTCTACCTTGTTGTGGTGTGTAACAATACTTCATTTCTTTTTATGGCTGAATAATATTTCATCGTATGTAAACCACACTTTGTTTATCCATTCATCAGTTGGATATTTGAGTTGTTTCCACTGTTGTGGCCATCATGAGTAAGGCTGCTATGAACATTTGTGTACAAGTTTTTGTGTGAACATAAGTATTCAATTCTCTTTAGTATATACTTAGCAGTGGAATTGCTGGGTCATATAATACTCTGGGTTTAACTTTTTGAGGAACCACCAAACTGTTTTCCAAAGTGGCTGCACGATGTTACATTCCCACCAGCAGTTTATGAGGGGTCCGGTTTCTCTACAATCCTCCTAACACTTGTTTTTGTCTGGCCTTTTGGTTATAGCCATGCTCATGGGTGGGAGGCGGCCCCTCAGAATTTTGATTTGCATTTCTCTGATGACCAGTGACGTCAGGCACCGTTTCATGTACTTGTTGGCCGTGTGTCTGTCTGTCTTTGGACAAGTGTCCATACTGATGCCTTGCTCACTTTTTAACTGGGTGTTTGTCTTCTCATTGTTGAGTTGTAAGAGTTCTTTACTCTGGATACTAGACACTTATCAGACATATGGTCTGCAAATATCTTCTCCCATTCTGTAGGTTGTTGATTCCACTTTCTTGATAGTGTCTTTTGACATAAAATAAATTTATATTTTAAAAATGAATTGATTTAAGGAGAAAAGAATAGGACTGACTGTACTCAGATGTGGCATAAAAATCTGAAGGTGTCATGTGAATGACTAAGGTGTGGAGGCTGTCCCCTGTGAGGCCACAGGCGCCTGGAGGCAGCGAAGAGGGTGAAGCTGAAAGGAGAAGTGCTGCCCGGGGGCGGCAGTGCGAGGTCAGCGGCTCCCCTGCTGGGTGCGCTGCGACCGTTGTGTATTCGATGGCTCGGAAGCGGTTTTGTTTTTAAGTCAGTAATAGATACTGGATGTATTAAAATGTCTTTCCTTCATCTTTTGGGATAAGCATCAGGTTTTTCCCTTTCATCTTCTGACGATTAACCATATTAATGGGATATTAAGCCCTCCTGTGATTTCTGAGACAGACCGTCCCGGACCTGGAACTTTGGTGACACAGAAATGAATGAGAAGGCCCACTCTGACTTCAGGGTCTCGTCAGGCAGGTTTGGTGTCACATTATCAGGAAAGGCAGAGACACAGTCAAGAGCAGTGGCTAAGAGGACAGCTTTGACAACTTGGTCTCTATTCCCTGCTTTGCCACTTAACAGCATGTGTTTTGGGCCAAGTTTCTTAAATTCTTGAAGCCAGTTTTCCCTTGGTTTGTGTGACGCTGCAGCGAGGTGGCACGGTGCAGGCGCCCAGTGAGTGAGGGGTGCGCTCTCTCCTGTCCCTGTGGTGACAGAAACACCGCAGGCAGGTGCCCAGGCGACTCTGCAGGGATCGCACAGCCTGGAGTGTTCTGTAACACCGCCCGGGGCCGCCGCTGCTTTCTGGAGGTTCAGGGCTGCTTCGAAAACTTTGTCAATTTCTTCCTGAGTCACTGGGCTGGTCAGTATCTATTTCATCGTAAGTTCATTCTTCAAAGTGATGTTTTCTAAGAAAATTGCCTTTTCATGTTTATTAGTCTAGAATATCTATTTACATTTTCATATCCTCTTTATGAATAGTTTTTTCACTTTGTTCTTATTCCTAGTTTCTCTTGCATAGACTTCCAAGAAATCTATTTTATAGGGCTTTTCAAAGAAGCAGCTTTAGATAAAATAAGCCATGCTCCCGCTTTCATTTTGTAATCCATTGACTTCTACCCTTATTCATTAATTCTTCCCTCTGCTTTCCTGGGATTTTGTTTTGTGGCCCCTTTTCTGGAGTCCTGCAGTGCATGCTTCATTCATGTTCAGACGCACCTACTTTGAATGGTAGAAAGGAGAGGCGAAGTGTGGTGACAGAGGCTGTGGGTGACAGCCCCCTCCAGCCCTGCTGTGCCGTCACCGCTGTGACATGGACAGGGTCCTCCGTGTTGAGGTGTGGGGCCACCCAGGAGGGTGTGGGCGTTCCTGCTGGTGCCAAGGCCCAGCAGGAGTTCAGCAAAGCGAAGCAGTGAACTGCTGTTGCCTCGTCCCATGGAGTTCTGATTTCTCATGGTCCCTCCAGCAGCATCCTCCGCGCCCAGACACTGAGCTGCGCCCCACAGTCACAGGCAGACAAGATGACCTGTCCTGCCTTCATGGTGCCCTTCTCACGGGGGACAGGCCTCAGGTGGTGATTATACAAATCATGAGTTAATGCAGTTGCTGTAACAGCCACAAAGGAGTGTAGAGCAGCCTGAGAGTGACAACAGAAACCCCCAACCCCGGGGAGGGAGGGGACCTTTGGGCTCTCACTTGAAGGGCAGGAAAAACTGTAAGGAAGAGCATTCCCAGCTGAGTGAACGGTGTGAGCCAAGCCTTTGAGCTGTGAAGGGGACTGGCTGGAGCCAGGGGGAGTGCACGCTGAGGCTGGCGGGGCCCTGTGTGAGGATTCAGAATGGGACCTCTGAAGGCCCATCTGTATCTGGGAAGGGTTTGTCCTTATTTTCTATGTGCTTTGTAGTTTCAGTTCAGATATATAATTTTGCCGTAGTTATTTAAGAGTATGCTTTAAAATTTCCAAGTGTTCAGAAATTTTTGTTTTAACTATTGCAGTCAATTTCTAGTTTAATGAATGATTACCTGAGGACGTGACCTGCAGAGTTTCTGCCTTTTTGAATCTGTGACTCCCTTTCTTCATTGCTTGAGGTATGATTACTTTTATAAATGTCCCGTGGCAGGTGAGAAGGTATTTCTGTCATGTTCCGCGTTCTGGACCAGCCTCTCTGGGTGGTTTTGGGTCCAGTCCAAATCCACTGTATGCTTGTGTGCATCTGTCCTCAGCACCACCTCTGGTCCTCTCCCCTTCCCCCGGGACGCCTTGCCAGTGTTGTTAATCCACTCAGGGCCACAGGGCCCACCTGCCCCTGCACCCCCTGCACCCCCATCCCACACCCTGGCCCTCTTGTTTGCATTTGACTGAAGTACCTGTCAGGGGGTTATTTTCAATTTTTGAACATTGGAATTATTTTTACATGTCTTCTGCTTTCTGCCCATATACGTGTGTGTATTTTACCCATTGTGATTGGCATTATTTTGCTTTTCCAGTTTCGGGTCATGTTGTGGGCATAGTTACCCATGCTGAAAGAACCCACCCGTTGTGATTGAGGCCCTCTGGGCCATTCCAGGGTGTGAGCCTGTCACTTGTGGGCCCTGGGGGCCGGTTCCAGCATTTTGTGATGAGAAATCCCGCTGTCACAAATGTCTTTGGACAAATCCCCTTTTAACCCTCAGGCTGCTTTGGGTTCACGTTCCCCACTGGCCTGGGTCTCCCTGCTCCCCGCCCTGCGCCCTCCACGTGGTTCTGAGTGGCCGGTTACACCTTCCTGTCTTCCCCACCGCCCTGCCGACACAATTTTTAAGTCTTTGCTCAGTGACTGTGTGTGTGTAGTGGGTCCTTGAAGCCATTTTAATGTTCACCCTTTTAGCCGGTGGCACGTTTCCCTGTGCAGCTCACCCTCTGGGTTCCCCACGGTACGGACCGTGAGGGTCTCGTCACTGACATGTTAATTCTTTGCTCATCTCACACAGGATGTTTTGACTCCCCCCATTCCTCAGCCTTTTAAGGCCAGAGCTTTGTTGCTTTGTCGTCAGGTTGGGACTAGAAGGCCGCGCACGTTTCCTCTCTCCTGCTACACTCAGTAAGTGCCTGCTCGTTGTGGTGTGTCTGGGGGCTGAAGCTGAAGGGAGGCTGTGAGGAGATGGGCTAGGAGGAGGGACAGGGGTGTGAGGGAGATGGAGGCTCTGAGCCACCCCGGTGGTCCCCAGACCGTGGCGGGTGTGTGTGAAGTGAGGCAGGCTCTGCTCACATTCCTCGGAATGAGTAGAGGACCCTGTTCTCAGCCTGACCTGATGCTCTGTGACCCTGAGCAGGTTTCAGCCTTCTCTGAACCTCAGCTTCTCATCTGGACCTTGCTGGAAAGGGGCTTCTCAGCTCCTCAGGCTGACGGGGGGGTCCAGGGGCCCTCTCCCCATGAGAAGCCGGGACAGGACTCCTGGACGATGACCGTAGAGCTTGTGGGGGGCGCTCCCACTTGACCCGCCGCCAGCCCAGGGAGGGCAGAGCGTGGTCTGAGAACAGTGGGTGCTACAGGCAGCGGGCTGGGAGGGTGGCCAAGGGTCCAGGGTGGGCTTCGTGTACCCCTGGGGCTCTGGTGATTTAGACTTGTCCTCCCTGGAACTCAGACTCTGGGGTGAGAGTTCGTGTGAGGAGAGAGGCTGGTGGGGGCACGGTGCTGCCGACTTCCGGTTCCCAGGAAGATTCCACAGCTGCCGATGGCGGAGAGACCCGAGGACCGCAGGTGAGGCCGGGGGCGCGTCTGTGAGCCCGTGCGGCCGGGGCACAGAAGACCTGGAGGGCCATTGGTCTGTGAGCGAGGCCAGAGTGCTCAGAGTTCCCCCTAGTTCTTAGATTTCCTGTTCTGATGAAAAACTTAAGATTTTTGCCTTTAATTATAAAAGTAATCTGCATAGCGTTAAAAATTCACGCCACGGAGAAGGTATAAAATGAAAGTAAAATCCTCTCCCCTCACCCAGCCCAGCCCTACTACACAGAGGGAGCCTCTCCGGTTTCTTAGAATCTTTCTGGAACCTTGTATACACACACACAGGCTTGTCACTGCTGACGCCGTCCTAGAACAAGCAGGATTGTAACTGGTTCAGTTTGCCTGTCTGACTTCACGCGCTCCGGCAGTGGGACGTGCAGCCCGCACAGCGGGAAACACGTGGACATGCAGCCGAGGGGACATGTGTCCCCCCCGGCTGCACTGTGAAAGGGCGTCAGGGTGGGGAGGCTGAGCCTGGGAGAGAGGGAGGTGCGGAGCCGCCGCAGGTGTTTCTTTTACTGGATGCGGCTCATGGCCGCATCCAGGTTTTGCTTTTCACCTTTGAGTCTGTGAGAAAAGGAGCAGGAAAAAGCAAAAGGCGCTGGTGGCGGCACACCCAGCACTGCTGGGCCGGGGTTCAAGTCCCCGTGGCGTCCCTGCTTCTTTCCTGCTTCCGCTCCAGGCCCTTGCCCACCCCCCCATCAGGGGCTTCCTGGTCCCCCAGGAGAGAGGTGTCAGGGTGGGGTGCCTGGGGCCCTCTCCCAGGAGCACTCCTGCTCACCCCCGTGGGGCAGTGGGGCCAAGACGAGAGGGCAGGGTCCTGCGGGTCCTCTCAGGAGCTGCCCGTCCCCTGGGCCACATGTAGCAGGTGAATTAGCACCATCTGCCCACTCCTGTGGGAAGGGGAGGAGGAGAGCCTGGGGCCTCCGAACCCCAAGGCTGAGGGGCCCTGGAGTGACCACACTCCTCAGGGTGTGCTCCCCACCTGGCCTCTCCATCCCGGGCTCCCAGGATCAACTCACCACCACCCTCATCTCTGCCTCCGAGGACCAGGATGGCTCTTCCAGGGAGGACCGGGTGGATGAGGTCAAAGGGGAAGTGGTCTGGCTAGAGGCTAGTAGGTCCAGAGTGGCCCTGGGGGAGCAGGAAGAGAAGGACCAAAAACAGGCCCTGGTGCAGGAAATGCAAATGATGGTCGGTGGCAGGAGGGGCCAGGGTGGGCACTGCGGTCTGAGCCTGTACTCCAGGCACCTGGGACCTGGAGGGGGATCCAAGGAGACCCCCCCGCCCCCTGGCCCCACGGCTTGGGACCCAGCAGGAGCAGTGTGCTGTGATCTTAAGCTCCCTCGCAAGCTCACAGCGGCTGCCTCCTCCTTCAGTCTCTGACATTCTCTGCTCCTCTCCCAGCTTGGGCCAGCCTCCCCATCCCTCCCACCCCCCCAGAAAGAGGTCAGAGGGTCACAATCCACTTCCTTGGCCATCATGCTGATGCTTCAGCACCTTGGAACAGGGCTGCTGGGCTCCAGCCTGACCCCATGATTCCCCAGGGGCCCCTTCCATCACTGCAATCATCTCTTCCTTTAACAGCCCGCCTCCCAGAGGGAACAGCTCACCCACTAGCCAGACGTCTCCCTCTCTTCTCACCTGGAGCTTGCTGTGGGTGGTCCTTGTAGATACGGTGGGTGATGTTGGGCACCTGGAAGCATCTCATAAAGTGGGGCAGGTTGGGTGGGAATGGGGGGTCTGAGAAGGGTAGAGATGACAAGGCAATTCTCCCTAGGCCTCATCCCCCCAGAGCTGAGGACCTGTCCCCTCGAAGAGTCTGCAGAGGGGCAGGGCACTAGTTGGCCAAGCCACCTTCAGATTCCAGGTCAAGGGCCTCCCGTCTCCCTAAGTTTAGAGTCAAGACAAGATAGTTCACCCTGGGACCCCAATGTCCAGCACAGGGCCCAGCACTGAGTAGGTGCTCAATAGGCATCTATGGAATGAAGGAAGAAATGAATGTATGAAGAAAGAAAGCAGGGCCACAGCTGCTGTGGGTCTTTAGGTGGCCCTCTGAGAATGACCTCTCCCTTCTTTAGGCCAGGAAGTCCCACATAGATCTCTGAACAAAGGAACAGCATTCTAAGTGACTTACGTGGATCTTCATTTTATCCTCCCAACAGCCCTCTGAGGTCAGGTGCAGCGTTAGCTCTATGTTGCTGAAACTGAGGTTGGGAGAGGCTAAGTGACTAACTCGAGGTCACACTAGCAGTTAAGTGGCAGGGCCAAAATCAAACCCAGGTTCACTGACTTCCATGCCTGTGTTCTTCTCAGCATGCCACACGTCCTTGAATTAGAAACCACAAGAAGGGATGGGAGAGGGAGGCTACGGCAGCAACACAGGCCTGCTGCGGGCATCCATGCCCTTGGTCCTCTCTGCGCTTCCCTTTCTCCCATCTGGGAAGGCCCTGCCCTAGTTGTGCGGGTGGGTACCAAGGAAACAGAGGACTCTACTTCTGGGCCCTACCACAAGCCTGAGGTAGATGCCAGCCCTGGGGGATCTTACCACAGGTCCTGTTTCCACCAGGCAGACCACAGGTTAAGGCAGGAGTCCATGGAGTGTGGGGGTAGGGCTCTTCTACAAATTCCAAGGGCCAAGGTGATGGATACTGCTGCCCTCACAGTACCCTTAGAGGTCCCCCAACCTGCAAGCTACCTCATGTCCTGGGCTCACATGAGGTGGAGGTGCCAGGCATTCAAGATGAGACATTGTGTGTGTTTGGGGGCTTTGGGATGCTTCTGGGAGCAGCAGGAGCTCCACAGACAGCACTCAACCACAGGCTCCACCATGGTAGGGTGATTAGGCAGCCCCCGGGTCTGTGTCTGAAGCAAAGAAACAACCATCTTCCTCTCAGCCGCTGGCCTCCAGGGATGGGCAGAAACTCAGCAGGTGAAAGGAGAGCATGCCAGGTGGGGAGCAAAGCAGCAGCAAAGGCCTGGAGCTAGAAAAGCATTGAGTTCATTTCATCAGGAGCCCGGGAGACTGGTGGGACACGAGGCTGGAAAAGGGCTGGGCTCTGATGAGCCCGCTTCTCCAGAGCATCTGCGGGGCTCAAGTGAGGAGATGCATTTGAAGAATTCTGAAAAAATGTCTGGATCACAAGTCTAACTCAACATATTTCCATTTTATTTACTTATTAACAGTAATTTATGTTTCGCTTACTCTGTGCCAGACATTGTTCTAAATATATATAATTCTCACAACAATGAGTAGGTTCTATTATTTCCATTCTCAGATAAGAAACCTGAGGTACCAAGATGACGTGACTTGCCCAAGGTCATACAGATTGTATGTCATGGAGTTGGGATTTGAACTCAGTCTGGCTCCAAAGTCTGAACCATCACACCAGGCCAAGATCTAAGGTTTTCAATATTTAAAAGTCTATCTTTCTGGGACAGGCTTTTTCCCAGCTTTCCCCAGTTTTGGTTTTATGCTAAGTGGGAGTCATATGTATTTCTTTCAATCTTACAAGACAGTAATTATTTCTACCCAGCTTCACAGAAGAGAAGAGTTAGGCCGGGAGAGAGTAAATTCTGAGTTGGGTTTCAGACCTAGATTTTGTCTTAAGGATCCTCTTCGAGTATTTTTCTTTCCAACAGCCCCCCACCCCCACCCCACCCATCGCTGGACTAGGCCTGATGGCTACAATGGGAGAGGCAAAGCGGGACGGGTTGGGGGTCCGAGGCTCTGGGACGCACTGATCCTGGTCAGTCTCATCTCCCCCGCTGTAGCTGGAGCCACCTGGGACGTCCCGGGCCGCCCGCTCCCGGGTTGCGCCCTCTACATCCTGGCCGCACCTGAAGCCCCGCCGCGGGACCGTCTGCCTCGCGCACCCGTCGCCAGCCCGCTCGCTAGCTCTGCACCCTAACTCTGTGCTTAAACAAAGATGTCCACCTCGAATGAGAAAACCGAGGTTCCAGCGGAGCACTCTGCTCCAAGGTCCCGACAAATAGCTAGGCTTCCGTCCGAGCGCTAGGCGAAGCGGCTCGCATCCTCTGCCGCGTGCCAGGCCGGCAGGGAGCCCGCTTTCCACCTCTGCGGGACCCACCGGAGCGCAGACGTCACTATCTCAACCCGCCCCTCTGAGAGGCTCGGCGCGCCCTGGACAGCTCCTGCGCCTGCGCAGACCGCGGAGGGGCGTGGCGAGGGGGACGGGGGCGTGGCCTTGGAGGAGGGCGTGAGGCGGCGCGGGGCAGTGACGCAATGCGCCCCTAGTGGCGGGTGTCGCCCTCGCTGTGTACCCTCGGGATTCGGTTTCCATGGTTACGGCGGCGCGAGGCAGAGTCCCAGGTAAGATCCCCGTAGAACTGAAAGGTGACACCTGAGGGACTGCAGCCAACGGGGCTCGGGAGAACGGAGAAGCAGGGCCGGACCCCGGGCCGGCGGGAGGCCCGGCCCGCCCCGCGCGTGTCCCTCTTGCGCGCTCTGGTCCTCTCTACCCCGCGGGTCCCGTAGGATGCTGTCCCGTCCACAAGCGCCCTTCGGCCCCACGAACTGTCCTGGACTCCCACGCCCCTCCTCCTGTCTCCCCCAGCTGCTGACCTCACTCTTCTCCGTCCTCAAGTCGCCAACATGCAGCTGTTTGTCCGCGCCCGGGAGCTGCACACTCTTGAAGTGACCAGCCTGGAGACAGTTGCCCAGATCAAGGTGAAGATAAGAGTGTATCCCTGAGCGTCCGTAACCCACGGCCCTTTGCCTGTCCTCCTCTGGCTTCCTCGGAGAACATTCTTGACTCTTCCTTTCTTCCTTAAGCCTATGTAGCCTCCTTGGAGGGCCTCACCCCTGAAGATAAGGTGGTGCTTCCGGCGGGTTCTCCCCTACGGGATGAAGCCGCCCTGGGTCAGTGTGGGGTAGAAGCCCTGACGACCGTGGAAGTGGTTGGCCCTATGCTAGGAGGTGAGTGAGGATACAGAGGCCCCAAACTGGTGCCCAGGGACTATTCATGACTTATTTTGATTGCCCTGCACGATGTCTAACATTTTTTGTTTTAATTCACAATATCTAAAAGTCAGCCGATTTTTGTGTTAAAATTCATGGCTGGCTTTGCTTCCAAAATTGGGAAGATCTGGCGACAATGGGCCTGTGGTCCCACATACCAATAGCTGACTAGTGCCAGCCGCCTTTGGACAGTTCTGCAGTTTGCTGCAGTCCCCACTCCTTCCTGTTGCTCCTCACAACCAGTGTCAGGTACCATTTAGCATCAGGCTTGTGCTGATGTTTCTCTTATAGTAAAGAAAAGTGAACTCTCTTTTTGTACCTATGTCTCTATGAAAAGTGGGAAAACGAAAGATGAATTGAGAGCGTCGCATGTTTCAAGAAAAGTGGGAGCGAGCGTATTTCTTTGTGGAAGTAAAGAATAGCCCTATGTGTTTAATATGTAACCAAACTTTGTCGGTGTCAAAAGAATACAACTTAAGACACCATTATGAATCAAACCATAGTAAGACTTTTGACTGGTATACAGAAAAGATGCGTGATGAAAAACTTAGGGAACTAAAAAAAGGACTAAACTTTCTCCAGCATTTATGATCGAATGCAAGTAAAATAAGTGATGCTGCTGTGAAATGCAGTTATGTAATAAGTGAAAAAATTGCCGGGGCATCAAAACCTTTTACAGATGGTGAGTTTATCAAAGACTGTCTATTGCGTGCAGCTGAAATCATGTGTTCGGAACAGAAACAAGCATTTGCAAACATAAGTCTAACTGGAAATACTGTTGCTCAGCGAGTAAAAGATATGGCTGAGAACTTACAGGACAAGTTGTGAGAAAAAGTGAAGTCATTTGTGACATTTTCTATTGCAGTTGATGAGAGCACATACATAAATAATACAAGCCAGTTAATTATATTTATCTGTGGTGTTGATGAGAATTTTGACATCACTGAAGAACTTTTGGACGTGGTACCCATGACAGACCCAACATCTGAAAATGACTTATTTTTATATGTTGAGAAAAGTCTTGAAAAGTTTGATGGTGACTGGTCAAAATTAGTGAGTGTGACCACAGACGGTGCTCCTGTGGTCTGTGAGAACACTGGACTTGTTGCAAAACTTAAGTCCAAGGTCAGAATGTTTTGCAAGGAAGCAGAACTTAAATCCATTCACTGCATTATTCACCAGGAATTGTCTTGAACCAAAAAGTTAAAACCAGAACATGTCATGGATGTGGTGATTAACACAGTGAAGTGGATACGTTCCCGTGGCTCCAGCCACAGACAGTTCGGTGCTTTGCTTGAGGAACTGGCTGCGCGATATGGTAATCTCCTTTACTATACAAAGGTAAGGTGGCTTAGTCGTGGCATGGTGCTGAAGAGATTTTTTGAATTGATAAAAGAGATGGATTCGTTCATGTCATCCAAGGGGAAATCCCTTCCCCAGCTCACCAGCAAAGACTGGCTCAGAGACCTGGCCTTTTTGGTTGACATTACAAACCATCTAAACATTTTGAATATTTCTCTGCAAAGACATTCACAAGTAGTTACACAAATGTATGGTACAGTTTGCTCTTTCCTAGCAAAATTGAGTCTTTGGGAAACTCATTTGGCAGTAAATAATCTGGCACGCTTTCCTACACTGAAGTCAGTTTCCAGAAATGAAAGTGATGGCTTAATCTACATCCTCAGAATTGTAGAGTTGAAGATTGAATTCCAAGAAAGGTTCTTTGATTTCAAACGCTATGAAAATGAACTCACATTGTTTAGCTCACCTTTTTCAATTAACATTGACAGTGTTAATGAGGAATTACAAATGGAAGTTATTGAACTACAGTGTAATACGGTACTGAAAACTAAGTATGATGCCACTGGAATACCAGAATTCTACAAATACCTCAGCAAGAGTTACCCTAGGTATAGAAACCACTGTGCAAAGATTCTGTCCATGTTTGGAAGCACCTGTGTCTGTGAACAGCTGTTTTCTGTTATGAAATTGAGTAAAACTAAATTTCGCTCCCAGTTAAAGGATACAAGATTGAATTCAGTTCTGCACATTGCAACTCGAAATATGAGACCAGACATTGACATCCTGGTGCAGAAAAAAAGGTGTCAGGTTTCAGGTTCCAATTCAAGGGAGTAACAGATTATGAAATAAAATTTTAATAATTAAAGATTTCTGTTTTTTGATATGTATTTTAAAATTTTATATTTGAAATATCTAGTATTATAAACTTTGTATATTACGTGCTGGCACTGTGGTTCAATAAAAAAATAAGTTTAGGTGGGTTTTTTCTCCAGGCATTTGATTTTTCATAAACCTGGCCCATTGTACTTTTTTTTTTTTACCTACTTGGCTGACCAACAGTAGTTTGAGACTTCTGCCTAATAGAGTTAGTTACCATGACTAGTTTTTGGTTTTTTTGCTGAGGAAGATTCGCCCTGAGCTAACATCTGTTGCCCATCTTCCTCTATTTTGTATGTGAGCTGCCACCACAGCATGGTCACTTATACATGAGTGGTGTAGGTCCACGCCTGGGGACCAAACCCGGGCCACCAAAGCTGAGTGCACCAAACTTAACCAGTAGTCTGCTGGGGCTGGCCCCCATGATTAGTTTTTATGGATTTTTTACTTATCTCAAGCCAGGGAAAAACTCACTTGCTGCCTTGAGAAAAATGTGCCTGAGCTGTAGAATTTCTGTGGATGTTGGAGCCAGGTTGTGCTAGTTATCAATTTATTGCCTCTCAGCTCCAAATTCAGCCTTCATTGTCTGCTCTCCAAAAGCGGATCTGAGCCCTTTAAATATCTTTCCTCTGACAGCAGGCATGATATTAAATTTTGTCAGTAGAGGGCACTGGAGACACATTGCAGAAGAAAGGCGTTTTCTTTCCTGCTTTGCCCACTTGGCAGGCCTCTGCAGTGTAGGTGGCTTCTCTTGCGCCAGGCTCCTGCAGTGCCCAGCAGTCAGCAGCACCCAGGAGCCAGCAGCGTACCCCTTCAGGCAGTTTTGTAATGGAGTCCTTCTGCTGAGACACTTCCCCTTGAACAGCTTTCCCCAGTACCCTAAAGGGCAGATTTCCAGCAAATTCTGTCAGTGTGGCACTGCAGTAATTTCTCTGCTATTCTATAATCCTGAACCATGTCCTAGCCAACAAGGCCTGGATTACAGCCCTTCAGTGGGGAGCCTTTTCCTTGGGCATCTGCTCAGCCCTGGGGTAGTGGCCACTCCTTATACCTGCTATTTCTTCAGAATTCTTCTTACAAACCAGTTCCTTTTTATTTCAATCACTTGTTGTAGTTAATAACTTTTATATTAAATCACTGTTCAAATTACTGTGTGGTTTCTGTCTCCTGCTTGGATCCTGACTGATATAAGCCCTATTTCTTAGCTGTCTTGGGATTCCCCCCAAAATAAGAACATTTGGATTCTGGGCAACAAAGAGGACAGATGTCCACACACACAGGCCTTGGCCTTTCCCTGGGTCAGTGAGTCACCTAATGGAACAGATGTCCCTGGGAGCCATTACACTTGATTAGGCATACCGACTCTTATTGTGGTTATAATAGTTGGTTTTAACTGCTCACTGTTGTAGCTCAACTTTAACCTAACTTGATATCAGAAAAATATGATTGGTTGAGCCAATTCAGTAAGTATCTGTTGACAACATACCACCTGTAAGGCCCTACTCTGACTGCAAGCCAGTTCTGCCATTTGTTCATTCCAAGACCTTGAGCTGGTCGGTCACCTTGTCCCTCTGAGCTTCACCTTCTTCATCCATAAAACGAGGCTCTTACCACAGGTATTAGTTATCTGTTACTGCGTTAAAGTTACCTCAAAGTGTAGTGGCTTAAAACAACAACTATTTATTATCTCACTGGTTTCTGTGGGTCAGGAATCTGGGAGTGGCTTAGCAGGGTGGTTTCAGCTCAGAGTCTCTTAAGAGACTGCAGTCAAATTGTCAGCGGGGCTTGCTGTCATCTGAAGGCTTCACTGGGGCTAGAGGATCCACATCCAAGATGGCACACTCGCATGGCTGTTGGCAGGAGGCCTCAGTTCCTGGTTACATGGACCTCTCCATAGGACTTCTTGCAACTTGGTAGCTGACTTTCCTAGAGCAAGATGAGAGAGAGAGCACACTGAAGATAGACAGAGTATCCTTATAACCTGATCTTGGAAATGATATACCATCACTTCTGTCATATTCTGTTGGTCACTGTATTAACCATGTCTTTTATTTTCTGTATTCTAATACTTTGATGTCTGGGGCCTTGCTGACCCTGAAGGGACTGCCCCTCCCAGGATTAGCCAATTCCCAGGGATAGTAAATAATTCTTTGAGAACTTGCCCTTCAAATACGGACCAACCAATCCAGAGTCCACATCCCCAACCTCCTCTTTTATCAGGTTCTAGGCCACTGTCCATCTACACTAATGACCTCAGGGCCAGGTAGTAGACAACTAGGGACAACCCCTATGCCCCAGAGCCTGACAAAATTATTTAAACTAGCTAATCCAAAACCTGTTTGTCCTGCCTCACCCCTTCCTTCCCTAGAAACTGTAATAAAAGCTCTTGTCCACAGTTCCCCCCAAACTGACCCCAGTGCTACCCTGTGTGCCTCCCCCACCCCCTGGTGTTGCATGCCCTCTCCTCTTGGAAACTGTAACAAACTATCTCTTTTTTCCTTTTTTTTTTCTTTTTTTTGCTGAGGAAGATTCACCCTGAGCTAATAATCTTCCTCTCTTTTGCATGTGGTCACTGCCACAGCCACCAATGAGTAGTGTAGGTCCGCAGCTGGGAACCGAACCTGGGCCACTGAAGTGGAGCATGCTGAACTTAACCACCGGGCCACAGGGCCGCCCCATGAACTGTCTCTTCAATGGCAGTTATTTCCTGATCTTTTGGCCTTACTGTACCTCAAATTTTCTGTTAATACATTGTATTTTAGAACAGTCAAACAGACTGTTCTAATACGGTGTGGAAGGGGACCACACTAGGGCGTGAATACCAGGAGGTGGGGATCCTTGAGGCCATCTTAGAGTTTACCCACCACACCACATATCCCCCTGGGAGAATTAAACAAAACAGGGTAAATGTGGCAAAAGCCCCTCCTACTACAGTCTTGCATCACTTAACTATGAGGGTATGTTCTGAGAGACGCGTCGTTAGACGATTTCATCGTTGTGCGAACATCATAGAGTGCACTTACACAAACCCGGAGCCTACTGCACACCTAGGCTGTATGGTACTAATCTTGTGGGACCACCGCACCAATGTGGGGTACATTGTTATGCAGCACATGACTGCCCAATGACACAGACAGTTGGTCGTACAATCTGACTCTAAAATTCAGATGACTATGATACAGTCACTTATCCCCAGGAACTTATGACCAAGAGACAAATTCCTGGGTTTATTTACTCATATAACAAGTATTTCCTGGATGGTTGGGCTATACCAGGCATTTGTGTGCCTGAGGCTCATTGGTAAACAAACGCAGGATCTTTGCATTCACAGTCTGAGAACTTTGACTAGGTCTTACTTCATAAAATCTCACAATTTACCTCAAAACTTAGTGGCTCAAAACTACAATTTTACTTTGCTCGTGGTTTTGTGGGTCAGGAACTCAGGAAGGTCTTGACTGGAAAGTTCTCTCTTGGAGTCTGTCGTGTGGTTGCAGTCAGATGTCTGCTGGGGCTGCGGTCAATCTGAAGGCTCAGCTGGGTTGGACGTTCATGACGCTCATTGACGGGGCTGCCGTGGGGCCTGGTTTAAGCTGGGAGCTCCGGTGGGCTATGGATGAGCTCTCCACACGGTGGTCTCAGGGAAGTTATAACAAAATCTGACACGGTTGACGTCGCCCTCCTCTGAAAACACTTCCTTTGCTTTCCTCTCACATGGGCGACTCTTTCATAGCCTTCCTTTCTGGTTGTTTTTCACCTCCACTTCTAAATGTTGGAGCTCCTCAGAGCTCTGCTCTTCCCTGTGTACACTCCTTCCCTTGGTCTTGGTCTCCTGGCTTTAAATTAGTATTAATATGCTCCTGACTTCCAAATTTGTACCTCCAGCCAGACCTCTCCTTCCTAACTCCAAAATGGAGCTGCTGGTCTTTCCTCAAAATCTGCTCCTGCTGCAGCTGACGGCAGCTCCCGCTGGAAGCCTTGGAGCTGTGCCTGGTTTCTCTCTTCCCCAGAGCCCACAGCTGTTGAAAATTGCCCACGGGGTTTAGAGACTGGAGTGCCTGGTGACCTTGGGGAGAGCCCTTTGGTGGCATGATTTGAGGCAACATCAAATCTCACATTTCTCAAAACCACTAGACCATTTATTCACTAGGCACTGACTGTGCCACTGCCGTTGGTGAGGTGATGCTGGGGTCGGGCAGGTAGGCAGGTACTACATAACCAGCAGCTGGCCTCCCACACCCCAAAAGGGAGCCCTGGAGGCCTCTGAGCAGTTAAAACCAATAGCGCGAGATACAGGAACGTAGCTCCCGGAATCCCCACCTCTGACCTTACTGACTTCTGTTTTACGCACCTTTCTATCAAGTAGAGTCTGATTCCCAAGGCCAGAGCCACTAAGAAACAACCAGTTACCAAAGGGTGGCAGGACCGCTGCAGATGGGCTGTTGGCTGCCTGACCCAAGCGGGCGGGGGCAGAGAAATTAAAAAGCAGAGTTCAAAAGGCACAATTGCTGAGGTCACTTAGTGTAGGACAGACAGCCTGGCATACTTCACCAGGTGGCAATGGTGTCAAATGTGGAGAAGGTGCCAACAGTCTAGGGACGGTCTGGCCTGTCTCCTGACAGTCACAGCCTCATTGTGTGACCTCCAGCAACTCACTGCACTTGTCCACAGTGTTTTAGTTTGTGAATTAGAAATATTAACCACTGCCCTGCCTATTAATTAGAAAAAATACCAAAAATAGACTATATAAATACAGTTAAAATGCAGCATAAACACAGGGGTTATTATAAGACACTGGACAGGATACAGTCTGAGAAAACAGAAAGGGATTAACGTTTATTTATTTATTTATTTATTTTTTAGGAAGATTAGCCCTTAGCTAACTACTGCCAGTCTTCCTCTTTTTGCTGAGGAAGACTGGCCCTGAGCTAACATCCGTGCCCACCTTCCTCTACTTTATACGTAGGACGCCTACCACAGCAAGGCTTTTGCCAAGCGGTGCCATGTCTGCACCCGGGTTCCAAACCGGCAAACCGTGGGCCACTGAGAAGCGGCACATGCATACTTAACCGCTGTGCCACCAGGCCAGCCCCAGGGCCTAATGTTTATTGATCACCTTCTATGTGCCAGGTGCTGGATGCTTTCATCCTCCGAAAAGCCCCTTAGTATAGTTTTAGTGATGAAAAAACACAGGGTACAGAGAAATTAACTAGCTTTCCAAAGTCACACTGCTGGAAAAGGGCAACAGTAGGTCTTCTCAAAAGATCAGAAGTAGCCTCCATCTTCAGGTCCAGCTGGATCCAGCAATGAATGACAAAATCAATAGAATTTTATATCCTTGTATTAGTTTTCGGAGGCTGGCATAACAAAATACCACAGGCTGAGCAGCTTAAACAACAGAAATTTTGGGGCTGGCCACGTGGTTGAGTGGTTAAGTTCACACGCTCTGCTTCAGTGACCCAGGGTTTCACCGGTTCGAATCCTGGGCGTGGACATGGCACTGCTCATCAGGCCATGCTGGGGTGGCGTCCCACATGCCACAACTAGAGGGACCCACAACTAAAGTACACAACTATGTAGCGGGGGGATTTGGGGAGAGAAAACAGAAAAGCAGAGGGGGAAAAAAGAAGATTGGCAACAGTTGTTAGCTCAGGTGCCAATCTTTAAAAAAAAAAGAAAAGAAATTCTATTTTCTCACGGTTGTAGAGGCTGGAAGTCCAAGATCAAGCTGCTGGCCAGGTTAGGTTCTTCTGAGGCCTCTCTCCTTGGCTTGCAGATGGCTGCCCTCCTGCCGCCTCTTTACGTGGCCATCCCTGGCATCTCTTCCTCTTCTGGTAAGGACAGTAGTCATATTGGATAAGGGTCCCACCCTAATGGCCTCATTTTAACCTAATCATTTAAAGACCTTCTCTCCAAATACAGTGTCATTCTGAGGGTTGGGACTTCAATGTAAGAATTTGGGGGGGGACACAATTCAGCCCATAACAAGCCTACATACTAAAAGATAAATGCCGACCTAACAGAAGGGGTCCTAAACATTTTATTCCCTTAAACAGCGTGATTCCCTTTACAGATTTCTAATGCCATAGTTCTCCTTATTCTTCTGGACAAGAACTTTGTTTCCTTTCAAATGTACATCTACTTCTCCTTCCGGTTTTATTTTACCTTATTTACTCTGACTCTGTTTTCCAAAGGTACTCTTGAAGTGCCTTTCCAACTGTCTATTATCAGCCTTTTGAAGCTCTGTAGTTTTAATTCAAGGGTCTCCCTCCCCTGTGGATGTCCAAACGATTTCTGGAGTGATTGGGAGGCATCTTGAGGGTACCCATGTTTAAAAGAAAACCTATAAAGTTGGTATGTTAAAAAGTCTGAGCAACACCAAGTATAGGCAAGGGTGTGGAGCAGGAAGAACTCATACACTACTGATGAGATTGTAAAGTGATACAACGGAGAAGGATTTTGCCGATTCTTATAAAGTTAAACATATACTTACCACATGACTTAGCAATTTACTTCTACATATTCGCCCAAGAGGAACGAAAACATATATCCACACAAAGACTTGTACCTGAGTGTTCGGGGCAGTTTTATTCATAGGAACCCCAAATTGGAAACATCCTCAATGTCCATCACAGATGAATAGGTAAACAACTTGTTGTTCATCCATGCAATGGAATATTACTCAGCAATAAAAAGGAAAGAACTACTGACACATGCAACAACGTGGGTGAATCCCAAAAATGTCTTGAGATAGAGGAGCCAGACACAAAAGTCTTGCATATGTTTGTATGACTCCATTTATATGAAATTCTAGAAAGCCACAACTAATCTAACGTAACAGAAAGCAGATCTGAGGTTGCCTGGCTGGGTGATGGTGGGCAGACTGACTGCAAAGGGACACAGGAAACTTTGTGGAGTGATAGAAATAT